TTATATAAATACCCAAAATGGCCACCATAAATCCCTTATCATTACCCTCATATGAAACAAAGTCACGTATCTCATCAAAAGTTGAAATATCTCCTTTGATGAAGTACATTTCATTGTTATTTTACAATATATGGGTATATGCGAATTTTATCACTTTATGCAGATAAATTTAAGATGGCATGTTTATTCACAATCAATTATTTACAAGTTTCTTCACATTCATATGTATGTTCTTGGACCATTGTATTTTATAGCATAACAACTATGTTGTCAAGGTACATGTCTATAATAACATCATTATCTATTTATTTGTTTATCAAAAGAAGCTCAAAGGTTTTGTACAATAATAATTCCGATTCCATGCAAATTTCACTTCATGAAATCAAAGGTAAACTCATATTTTTTTGAAACTTCAAACAACATTAATGTAACAGATACTATTTTCATTTATTACATTGGTGTTTTAGTTACCTCCACCAAGGAGGTTATGTTTTTACCCCTGCCTGTTTGTTTTTTGTTTGTTTGTCATCAACATGACTCAAAAAGTTATGGATGAATTTCGATGGAATTTTCAGGGTAGGTCAGAAATGGGTTAACTTAGAAGTGTTTAGTTTTTGGTGGTGATCTGGATCAATAATCAATCAATAATCGAATTGAAAAATTAAGATTAGGACCGATTTTGATGAAATTTTCTGGATAGTCAGAAGTGGGCCAAGGAACAGTTGATTAGTTTTTGATGGTGATCCAGATCAATAATCAATCAATAATCAAAAAATCTAAATCATTATAGAATGAAAATTTAGGGGTGAAACGGCATTGGGTGGAGGTCTGCGCTCTTGAAGTGCTTTTCTAGTTTCAATTTATTTTTGGAAATACAGATGGTGACCACAACTATGCATTTTGCTGTTTAGCAGTTTATTATGTCCTACATCATTAAGTCTAGTATGCAAAATTTTATTGCTGCTAATTTGCAGAATATTGCAGCAAATTTGCAACTGGCCTGATTTTTTGGCAAGGCCTGATATTTTGGCTCATGAAGTACAGAAATAATGAGCATTTTGCTGTGGAATGTACCATCATTCCTGACAAGCTCCCATCATCAGTTGGGAGGAGAAACATCTGCTTTGCAAGAAGCAAATATGCAGGGCCTTTTGTCATATGTAAAGACCCAAAAATCCATATAGCTGTACACAAATCATGCGCACCTCTTCCATAATACCATGTAACTGTAAGGTGGTGACATTCCCCTCCATGCTGGAAAAGATTACAAAATGCCAAGCATTTGCACTTCCCATGCTTATAAAGAGGGTTGATGAAACTACGCCCAGTAAGCTCATAAACTGTACTCAAATCACATCCATGTGGACCATAAGGGCTTCATGTAAGACAAAGATCAATGTGTGAATTGGAAGAAACCTTCCAATTTCTGCAACCGCCAGTGACATTTTTGTATAGCTAGTTTCTAAGGAATGTACCCATGAGTAATATTCTTAATGAAATACCCTAATACTAAATGCTCTAAGTCTCCAATCCACTGTAACACCATGTTTCCTCAGGAGGAATCTGAGATGCGTCGGATCCTTTAGTTTCCACTCTCCTTTGGGCAAAGAAAATCTGATCACCAAGCACAAAAAGATTTTTCACCCATGGGCTATGCACTGAAGGAACCATAACATAAGGTACTCAAGATGTATTATTTGGACACGTGGATCTTGTCCCTGTATCTACTATGCTGATTTGAGCTGGTGAAACCTGTGGAACATATTGTATCCTTCCAAGGCAGCAGGATGGTGGAGGATTCATAATGTTAAGAGATGGATACACACATGACCACAGATTGTCCTTGGTTGTTATTCCATGACCCTTTAATGGTGTTAGATACAGGGAAGAAGTATTGTTCAATTTAGTGTCCCTACGTATTCAGGTGCACATCTAATAGCAACTCATTTTTATGGACAAAAAAGGCATGCCCCCACAGAGAACTACAAAACTGCTAACAATTTCATGGTTACTTTGGTATGGCCAGCAGCTTTTCCAAACCATATTCCAAAAGATATGACTGTCAGGACAGCATCCAGAGGTGTAGAAACATGTTATAGTTGGACAGAGCTTGTCAGGAATGATGGTACATTCCACAGCAAAAATGTCAAACACAGGAGATGTAATGAAAAGTTAACATAGGCCTTTTTTTTAAATTTGTGATCCAAAAAAATTCATACAAGAATTTCATCAGCTGTGTTAAGTTATAAGAATGATATGAATTTTTCTTCAGCCAACAGCTAATATTGAGATTGGTTTTACCTCTAATATTTCGATGTTTATCAGGACATCTTCTTCAGGGAATGAGGCTATCCAGGTGAATAGCCTCTACTCAGGACGTGTACTTGTCCCCCCCCCCCCCAAAATTAAAAAATTTAAAAAATACAACATTAACTTGTACAATAAAGCAGGGTTCACCAACCAGAATGCAGTATTAAGTCCCAAAGACCCATTAGACAACAATGAAAAGTGTGGAGTTGTCTATGAAATGGAATGTGAGGGGTGAAGTGAGAAATATATAGGCGAAACGGGAAGATCAGTTTCAGATAGAATGGCCGAACACCAAAAATCGATTAATAATAGAGACAGCAAGTCAGCATTAAGCCAGCATGAGGAACAATCTGGACATAAAGTAGCACATGGTCCTATAATCGACAAAATCAAGGTGATTGACTGTGAGCCAAGGGAAAATTACAGAAAAATCCTAGAAGCCATCCACATCAAAAAGACAGGGGCCAGTCTCAACAAAAATGATGGTGCCATCCTCCCTGACCTCTACCTCCCTTTCCTACGACAATAGGGGGGGGGGGAGGGGCAAGTACATCTATCCCTGTGGGGAGTCTCACTAGATTTCTGTCAGCTTTGCTGGCTTAAACGTCCGTCCCTCATAATAAAAGCTGTAAGGGGGTAATAAACTATGGTACGCGCTCGGCTGACTGCAATTTAGCGTGAACCCCAGGGAGTTAGGTCGATCTATATCTAAATCTCTGGATCTATCTAAATCTCTGGGAATGCACCCTTAGAAACGTCAACAAATAAATCATTTAACTGGTCACTATGTGGACTTGGGTTTTCTTTGTGCGACCTTATGTAAATCTGACATGAAGCAGGGAAGTTTTAGATTGCATTATCCACTAAGTTAGTCAAAATCGTAATGTCCTATTTCAAGCCCACACTTGAATTAAGCATCCTAAATTTTTAAAGTTTACGACATTCACTCCATATATAAAGAAAAGTTCATTATATGCCATCTAGAAATGACAAGTGTTGGATGTCATCTATAAAACCTTTATCACTGCCACCTGAAAAATATACTTCTTTAAATAACAGATTTCAACCATCAGTAAAGTACACATGGTACCATTGATTTGTAATGGTAAGGGGTATATGGCAGCCAAATTGGATTTTCCTCTAATGAAAAAGGCTGATTCATATTCTTTACAAATATTAAAATGTAGGAGATATTTAAGAGAATTTATATTTCTTGAAATATTGCTTTTACCATGGTTGAAATAATTTCTTGATTATAGAACATGTGCCTCAGTTGCGAAAATGGTAAAATAAAGGCAGCCATCTTGGATAAAGAAGCCATTTTGAAAAAAGATATGGTCTCAGCTTTACATTCAAAAATAAGCAATTGTCCTTTACCAATAAATTGCAAAGGAAACATGGAATTTACTTCATTAAAGAAGATATTTGATCTTGCAAATAAGGTGCATGCTGTGCGCACCTTTGGGCCAAAACGGTTGGCATGCATGGTGGCCATGTTGGATTTTTTTCTAACCATAAAGTTTCATACTGTACAGAGAGAGGAAATACAGGTCATACTGTACATAACTTATATTTGATGGTGTGTNTTAAGACCCAAAAATCCATATAGCTGTACAAAAATCATGGTAAGGGTAAAGCTCATAAGGTATAGAAATGAAGAGCATCCTCGGTTGGGAGGAGAAACCTAAGATCTTCTTTGCAAGAAGCAAATATGCAGGGCCTTTGGTCATATCTTAAGACCCAAAAATCCATATAGCTGTACAAAAATCATGCGCGCCTCTTCCATAATACCATGTAACTGTAAGGTGGTGACATTCTCCTCCATGCTGGAAAAGTTTACAAAATGCCAAGCATTTGCACTTCCCATGCTTATGAGGAGAGTTGATGAAACTGTACTCAAATCACATCCATGTGGACCATAAGTGCTTCATGTAAGACAACAGGCCCGTAGCCAGCAATTCAAAAGGGGGGTTCTTTTTCTGAAAAAGTGAACCTTTTCCCATATAAACTTTATGTACCTACCCTGTATATCAAATTTTACCCAGAGTGGACTTTTTCCCAGCAAAAGGGGCGGTTCTTTTGAACACCCCGAACCCCCCCTGGCTACGGGCCTGGACAAAGATCAATGTGTGAATTGGAAGAAACCTTCCAATTTTTGCAACCTGCAGTGAACTATGTGTATGGCTAGTTTCTGAGGAATATACCCATGACCTCTTTACCAATATGCTTAATGAAATACCCAAGTACTAAATGCTCCAATTCTCCAATCCACTGTAACACCATGTTTCCTCAGGAGGAACCTTAGCCGCGTCGGATCCTTTAGTTTCCACTCTCCTTTGGGAAAAGAAAATCTGATCACCAAGCACAAAAGGGTTTTTCACCCATTGGGCAATGAACTGAAGGAACCATAACATAAGGTACTAGATTTGCATTATTTTGACGTGGATCTTGTCCCTGTATCTACTATGCTGATTTGAGCTGGTGAAACCTGTGGAAAATATTGTATCCTTCCAAGGCAGCAGGATGGTGGAGGATTCATAATGTTAAGAGATGGATACACACATGACCACAGATTGTCCTTGGTTCTTATTCCATGACCCTTTAACAGTGCTAGATACAGGGAAGAAGTATTGATCAATGTAGTGTCCCTACATATTCAGGTGCACATTTAATAGCAACTCATTTTAATGGACAAAAAAGGCATGCCCCAGCAGAGAAATTCAAAACTGCTTACAACATGGTTAGTTTGGTATGGCCAGCAGCTTCTCAAAGTCTTATTCCAAAAGATAACTATCAGGACAGCATCCAGAGGTATAGAAACATGTTATAGTTGGAGAGAGCTTGTCAGGAATGAAAGATAAACAGAGATGTTATGAAAAATTAATATAGGCCTGTTGTGTGAAGGATAATTACCACATATTTTGAAATCTGTTTGTAATCCTGTTTTTACCTCTGAAATCAAGTTTTAAAGGTCCGCATCATCTAAATAAGCCCAACTTAATATTAATTGTTAAGTTAAAAGTAATTCTGCATGGCAGCATTATAGTAACATACATGCCTGTCGTGTCCGATATTAAGATAAAAAAATATATTTTATGACATTCAATCCATATATAAAGAAAAGTTCATTACATGACATCTAGAAATGACAAGTGTTGGATGTCATCTATAAAATCTATATCACTGCCACCTGAAAAATATACTTCATTAAATAACAGATTTTAACTATTAGTAAAGAACACGTGGTACCATTAATTTGTAATGGTAAGGGGTATATGGCAGCCAAATTGGATTTTCCTCTAATGAAAAAGGCTTAATCATATTCTTTACAAATATTAAAATGTAGGAGATATTTAAGAGAATTTATATTTCTTGAAATGTTGCTTTTACCATGGTTGAAATAATTTCTAGACTATATAACATGTGCCTCAGTTGCGAAAATGGTAAAATAAAGGCAGCCATCTTGGATAAAGAAGCCATTTTGAAAAAAGATATGGTCTCAGCTTTACATTCAAAAATAAGCAATTGTCCTTTACCAATAAATTGCAAAGGAAACATGGAATATACTTCATTAAAGAAGATATTTGATCTTGCAAATAAGGTGCATGCTGTGCGCACCTTTGGGCCATAACGGTCGGCATGCATGGTGGCCATGTTGGATTTTTTTCTAACCATAAAGTTTCATACTGTACAGAGAGAGAGGAAATACAGGTCATACTGTACATAACTTATATTTGATGGTGTGTTGCTTCTAACAAGATTGAAAGTAATTCTAGATTAAATAAAACATGACCTAACTGCAAAAATTGGCAAATTTTTGGCCGCCATCTTGAATAAAGCAGCCATCTTGGGTCAAGACACCATCTCAAATTAACCTTTAATATTTAAAGCAATTGTTCTATACCTGCATATTGTAAAATAAAAATAAAATATACTTCATTTAATAAGGTATTTCAACTTTCAAAAAGATATACATTGTGCTTCTGACTCATTATGGTGAGGGGTGTGTGGTGGCCATATTGGATTTTTCTCTTTATCAAAAAGCCTACATAGTGCATGCAGACAACAGAAATGTGTGAAATATTATAAAAAAGCTATATGTGATGACAGTTTTTTCTTATATCACGTTTAAAAGAAATTCTAGATTGAAGAAAACATGACTTAATTGCAAAAAATAGTGAAATATTCTCCGCCATCTTGGATGATGCGGCCATTTTGAATTCAGTTGTCAAATTATTGCTACAGATCACCAGGAAGTGCATATTTCCACAATATTTACACAATAAAAGTAATGTACACTTCAGCAAAAAAAATATTTATCACTTTTCATAATTGATGCTTATTCTGTGTATTCACCATGGCTGGCGGCCATCTTGGATTTTTCTCTTATCCATCGAGCCATCATTCTGTAAACAGATACTTGAAATGCAGGAAATATTGTAGACAACCTATATTTGATAACAGTTTGCTTTAATAATGATTGAATATAATACAAGACGAAAGCAAACATTATTTAATTGCAAAAAATGGTGAAAAATTGGCCGCCATCTTGGATAAAGCGGCCATTTTGAATCTAATTGACTAAATCTAGCTATTGATCACCAGAGAGTACATATTTCCACAATATATGGACAACACAAACATCTAAACCTAAAGAAACTGAAAATATCTACCATTTTTCATAATTGATGCTTGTTCTCTGTATTCACCATTGCCGGCGGCCATCTTGGATTTTTGGGCACTTTCGCAATTGAGCCCATTTGTCCAATAAGCAGATTCATAAACCCCAGGTATCAAGCTCTCCGACGATATGTTTGAAAATTTTATATCATTAAATTTTTTTTACTACCCTTTTTTGAAGGCTTTTGGAGTTTGGCTCCCCTACTATTATGAAGCCAGGATGGTATAAGAACATACTTTAAATAAAGTTGATTTGATTTGTTGCATAAAGGTTTGGAAGTAGTCCTTTTTCTCTAGTGATATAACTTTCAGGAGTTCTATTGAATATTGAGTTTAAAATTAAGTTTAAGTGCAGTGCTTTACAAGTGACGCTGTATCCTCATNGTTTGGCTCCCCTACTATATTCATAAAAAGCTATGTAGAAGTTGTTATGACATGAAAATTAATCCTTTAATTGGCCTGTGGCCAAAAATACAGCCACTGTAATTAAAAAAAAATTATAGTTAATAGCTTACAGCTCAAAACCTGATTAAGCTAGCCACATGAACATGAATTCAAATCAGATGCATTTAATTTTATGTTCTTTGATTATAGCTGACCTTGGTTGTCCGGGATAGTGCTGACCATGAGGTAACAGACTCCATGGTGGTCAATGTAGATGTGACCCGTAACATCCACCAACCATCACTCAGAGTGTTCTATCAACAGGAGATTCCTGAAACTCAAGGTGTCGGCACTCAGGTGGCAAATCTCACTGGATCGGACCTTGATGGGGTAAGGGAATCTCAGACATTTGTTTAGGAATAGAATATAGATGAAACCATGGCGCAGTATCATGCTTCATGTTGTTTAAAATGATGAAAAGTTCACTTTTTCTTTAATTTTCCAGGATGAATTGAGATATGAGATCACAGGCACAAACCAAACCAGACAGTACTTCTATGTGATACCAACAGAGGGAGGTATTTACCTGAAAAAGCCATTACAGGGACCGGAGCATCCAAGATTATTCTATGTAAGTGAAATAGACTTTAAAGCAAGTAAAATATTGAAGTTTTTTAATTTCTATAAAAGTATTTCTACAGATGTCAAACTGAATTGTTAATAAAAATAATTGTGAAAGATTTTGTTTTATTTTTCTCTGTCATACTATTACTATTTTTAGTTAGTAAAATATACAGTTATGCTATCAGATTTATTCGGTGATAAACTTAAAGGGATAATAACTCTTCGTTTTGACCAAAAAATGAATTTTCCTAGAGTAAGCAACAATTTTCCAATACTTACCAATGGTTAATGAATCCATCTTTACATTCAAAGTTAGTCCCTGGTTTTTTTCTAAAAAGTTTGGTTTTTTGTTAAAATCTCTTAAGAGATTATAACAGAGTATAGCCATCGGTGGTCAGAAGACAAGCTCAGATATCAGAATAATAGCTATAACTGCTGTTTTTGTCGTAAAACAGAATATATTATATTTCTATGAGTTATTCACAATGTTTTTATTGTGAAATATAGACCTAATACGAAGAGTTATTATCCCTTTAATACTTTCTAACAAGTGCTTTCCTGTCAATTTCAGTTCAATGTGAAGGTCAGAGATCAGAGAAACCCAGAGAAGTCTTCCACTGCCTCATTTACAATCCGAGTCAGCAGTGAAAATGTCCCACCACAGTGGCTCCAGCTGCCTTATGGCACAAACATCAAACGCAATGCCTCAGTTGGTGATGTGGTGATCACAGTGGCCGCTGCCGATCCCGATCTAAAAGTAAGGGACTGGAGATTGTAAATTGTAGGCTGAAATGTATTTACACTTACACTGTGTTGTGTAGATATTGATTGATGTGTTGCTTTTTGGCAGAATTTAAGCCTGGAATGTCAGTGCCATTCTAACCATTCCAGTATAAGACATGGTTGAGAGTTAAATGCAAAGACAGGTTCATAAGATATGGTATATTAGTATTTCTTTTTTACTTGGTGGTATTTGTAAAACTGATTCAGTCATTCGGAAATAACCCAGGGATATTTAAGTAAAGTATTAATTGTTTTACTTTCTTTTCAGGGCACTCTGAGATACCGACTTGGTCCTGGTGTGGTACCAGCTCCATATTTCTTCACTATTGATGAAATAACGGGTCAAGTTAAAGTCAGGAATAGTCTCACATTTGGAACCGATTCAGTGTACAATGTAAGCCAATGTAATATCATAAAAAGGAATTCTCTCCTCATTTTATTTGTCAGTTTAAAAGATGATTTAAATGACTTTCAGGCACTGTTGCTCATTAAATTAAGATCTATTTAAGTAGTCTCGACAGTGCAGAAGTTTCATACTACATATCTATTTTTTGATATGATAAGTAGGGTTATGTTATTTGTAATTGTGTAAGATTTCACTGTGTGTTTTGTAATTTTTTAGGGAGAGGAGGGTCAGAATTGTGTATGATATAGACGTTACATTATTACCCCATCACTTTTTTATCTCTTTCCAGTTACGCGTTCAAGCATTTGATGATGGCTATCCATTTAACTACAATGAGACAACAGTGACACTCACCATACCCCAGCAGGCCCCTGTGTGGCAGACGACAGTTATCACCAGAAATATCTCCAGATCCCTGGGTCCAGGAAGTACTGTGATCACACTGGACGGATATGTTACTGACCCAGATGGGGTGAGTTAGGCAGGACTGAGACAGTGGAGAGTGATTGAGTGAGATATCTTGAAGATTGTAACTTGTAAAATTTTAACGGGTGCAAGAAATTTACATTAACTTTAACCAGCTTCAGCAACAGAATTCTGTTGATTCACGGCACCTCACTCTCTCTTCTGACTTTCCCTCTTCATTGTTGCAGACAATATCCTTGGTGCCATTGTTTTGAAACGGGGAAATATGCAGTGTTGTTGTTTGATATATATGTACATCTGCAACATATTGTTTCAATCAACTTGATTGCTTGAAAAAAGAAAACCTTTCAGTTCAATTTGTAGATATATATCCTCATTAAGTATAATTTTTCAATTTTTTACATTTTTTGCAAAATATGCAAATTTGAGTTATGTTTTTGCCATGGCAGATGGCTAGCATGAGCCTGGATATCATGGTTACTTCAAATTCATTTTCACCCTTCATTATCAGGATAGCCTAACCTACACTCCAGAAGATGGCAGCACTCCTGGTGCCTATTCCTACTTCCTGCTCAGACAGGATAACGGAAAAATCATTGTTACTGGACTGTTGAGCCAGGCACCTTCATCAACATATCGGGTAAGAAATTGGGCAGGAAAAATACTGGGGTCTGTTTAACAAAAAGAATTTTATCCCAAAAATTGGTCGTAACTTTTAGACTTCAATTTTAGTCTACTTTGATCCAAGATAAATCCATTTCAGTCAATTATGAGACAAAATTCATTCAAAATACCACCTGTGAGCTACAGTTTCCATAGTGCAACTGTATAATGAATGATTTATTTTTATTTTGATATTTATTCCATAAAGTTTAGAACAGCATTCCAAATTATTGCAGACTGATTTGGTACATTTGTCATCAACTAACTGTTTATGTTATATTTTCAGTTTAACATAAGAGCCACAGACAATCGCAGACCACAGCAGTCAGCATCAGGTGTAGTTATTATCAATCTTATGGATGAAGAGAAACCGCCAGTGCAGAACATCAGCTACACCACCACCATTGATGACACCCATCCTGTCAATTCTGATGTGTTTGAATTACGAAATTCTGGGGTAAATCAGAGTTATATTTGAAACTTTTATGTTTTTGTTTTATGTTATATGTCATTTGGTTCCATGTGGATATCCTAGAAATTTAGTAACAATAAGCAAATTGAATGATATCAGAGTTGTTAAAACTTACAAATGCTGATTAGATATTTGCCATTGATGTGACCGATGTATCATTAACTAAAAAATTTATTTTTGAATTAAATGTTTAAACAAAAATGTATCTGTCTTTCTGTGAACTTCCATTTCTTTACTTTCTTTGAATATTTTTGAGATCAGTAAGTGCAATAATGAAAGTTATGACTTTTTTGCTTAAAATTGTTGCTGTTCAAACTACAGTAAGTGTGCATCACTTCTGGCTTAATCAGTGGACTTAGACCCTGGGATAAATGGAACATTTCAGTTGTAACTTCAGCTTTGAAAGTTTAACACTTCTTTCATTATTTTGATAATTTTGAAAGTAAACTTGCGTTATTGACAGTCATCTGTTCATTTCCAGAATGTCATCCTGCGCTATGAGATGGCAGAGGAGCAGCAGCAGTATCCTGCGTCCTACTTCTTCCGTGTCACACAAGATGGCCATGTGCAAGTGAAGCAAAGTCTGCTGAATGATGTCCAGTTGTCACCCAAGTACACTGTAAGTGTTATGTTGAGGATGATGATGATAATGATAATGATACATTTGTTCTAGATATTTTTGGCAAAACATTTGTGTTGACATGCATATATTAAGTCCTCTCTAAATTTGAAAAGATCATCATGAAAGAGAACTTTCAGTATTCCTTAATTGATAAATAACAACTGTTTGAGATTTAGAGTTAGTTTTACTTCTAAATCATCTAAGAAAAGATAAAGCAGTTATTAATTAATGACTTTTGTTAAAAACAAAACATTTTTCTATTCAATTTATGATTCATAATATATCCAAATGGAATATGAAATTGCAATCAGAACATTTTGAATGAGCCTTTTGGATTTTGCAAATAAAGAAACTCTTATTATCCTATAAAATATCATATTTTCAGCTCTTGGTTGCTGGATATAACACAGCTGAGCCTGGGTCTGGGCCTCTTGTATACATTACTCTGTATGTCAATGTGCGACGTAACCAAGCAGGACCACAGTTTAACCGAACTGTTTACTATAGCAACATCACAGACACACACCCCATTGGAGGTTTAGTTATCATACTACAAGGCAGGGATCCTGATGGTGTAAGTTATGGGGATTTTAGTAATAGCCTTTATATTGTCTCAGTCAATTTTTAAGCAGATTGTAAATCTTAGAGAAAATGAGTCTTTGTTTCAATTTGCCATTATGGAAAAGTCAGAGGAAAAGCAACTTTCTGTCTTCATTCAAAAAACAATTGGTTGTATTAAGTTGATTTTTATAGCACATTGTTATTTGTATTTTATAGCTCACATGATGATGAATCAATATAATGATTTCTCCGTACAGATAAACTGTCAAAAACTTTTCTCTAAAACAAATGAAAGCGAAGGTAATAATATTATACATAGGTTTGAATGTGGGTAGTCACATATTGGCATCTGTATATCTAGTTATATGTACTCATTCCAGGGCTCCATTACATATAATCTAGTTGGTGATGAAAATGCCAAGGCACACTTCTTTGTCCACCCAACCACGGGAGAAATTATTCTGATCAAGTCTCTGGCAGATGTGACCACTTCATACTTTTATGTGAGTTCTTATATCATAATGCCTTACCAACTTGAAGAACGTTTGTTCTGTTTTTTTCCTGTTTTTACAACTGAACTGCTGAAGTTTTTCATATAACTATTGTTATTATTGTACATATGTGTACAGTACTGTCCATAGTACAAAGCAAATAAATTTAAGCAAAAAAGGCTGTTTAAGGATGATTAAAGAACACACCGCATTTAAATTACCATTGTTCTTTTTTATTCTTTTTTACAGTTATAAATATACCTTTATTTATTAGCCACATATTAAGGAGATTTTGCCAATCTTTCAGCTTGTGATTGAGGCTTGTGATGACGATCGTCCTAAGAAATGTGTCAATCTCACCAGCACCATTAACGTGTTGCGTAATCGGAACTTGCCGCAGTTTACAAATGTACCTCACACCCTCAGTAACTTCCCACCTGGCGTGAACTCTGGATATATAGTCTATAGAGTACAGGCAATATACCCCCAAGGAGTAAGTATAAAGTCTCTAATGTATTAAATGTTTTATAAATAAAATGATAATTGTAATATTTATAGCACATGATAAGTGCACCTCTTCAAAAAAATTATATTAAGTAATATTAATGGCCTGTGTAATGAACAGAATAAAGCATAAACTAATTTCTTTGCTTCATAGAAATATGTCTAAAGCAATAATTTTTATTAGGAAAATCAGAAAAAAAAGAAAAGGAAAGGGAAATGATTCTGCTGGGTCCAAGTGTGCTCAGTGCAAAAAATGTTGATTTAAATTACTTTCATATGAAAATATCTTAATGATAGCAATAGTCTGTTTAGAAAGGTCATATTCATCAAGGTGCGATGACTTTCAGGGAGATCTTGAGTACCAGTTAGTAGGAGAGGGTCCAGCCACACAGTACTTCAGAATAAACCAAACAACTGGAGAGATTATTGTCAGGCGTCCCCTGGATAGAGATATCTCTATGTATATTGTAAGTATAGTGAAATAACCATTTCTGTTGTCTATTGTGTAATTCAGTTGTGTTCAAGGCCCTTTGAGGAAAGGTTGAGTCAAAAATGCCGTGCCTCATTGGTGGAAAAACATGTTTGGTCTCTTTGGGAACATTTTTTATCATTGCATTGGTAGTGTTTTGATAGAAATATCGTAACAGATGGGATAATTATTGGGCATACAGCTACTGATTGTCTCTGTTGAAGCTATGCACACTTTGGTTGTGGATACAATAGATTTACATGTAGCTTTGTTCACAATAGTCATATGTAAGCTTGTATGACATGTTTTATAAATATATCATCAATATTATTGATATAAATGTGCTTCATTTCCAGCTTAAAGTGCTTGCTAGGGTCATAGATCAACCACAACTAAGCACAACCGGCACAGTGACTCTGTTTGTAAACACCAATACCAAAGCCCCGCAGTTCAACCCAAGTGTTATTATGGTTCCGATTGATCCAGATCAACAAGTAAATACACCATTCCGCACAGTGACTGCCACTGATGAAGATGGCGTAAGTATATAATCTCTTTCTCACTTTTATCTTAAATTTGATTGTAGCAGCTAAAATTTATTTTCACTTTGAATGTGAAAAAGCACATGCTTAAAAGAATATTGCTAGTAGGTGAAAAAAAAGTTGTCAGGTTTATTTTTACTTACGAAAGTCAAAGAGGTATAAAATGTAATACTGTATAAAAAAAATACATTGTGTTTGCAACTTTGAGCTAAGATGATTCTCTGTTTATTTAGGATGAGTTGACCTACAGTCTGATAATGGTGATCCCTGAATACTCCAGCCAGTGGTTCAGGATTGACCCAAATACTGGAGCAATATCTCTTACAAATTCTGTAGAATATGACAACTCCACCCGCTATACTGTAAGTTTGATGACTGAAGTAATCTCTCTGTTCCATTGTCATAATTTTACAGATGCTTTTTGAAAAGAATAAAGTAATTTTTAAATTGGACTTTTAAGTGACATCATATACAAATATGACAGTGTGTCCTTTGAATTTGTGAGACTCTCATCTTAAAATGAGATATAAAATATGTTTGTGAGGGTTGGTGTAAATGTTTGCAAAATGTATACTGAGACATTCATTTTAGTGATTTTTCTGTCATTTTGCTTTACTAACATTTAATTACCATAAACCATGTGAGAATGTTCAAATAACCTTTTTCATTTGTTTTAAATAGTTGGTTGTCCAAGCAGCTGATGGCGGCTACCCCAGCCCTCAGTTTGGCTATGCCACAGTCCATGTGCTTGTCGACAGGATAGGGGGAATCAGTGTGTCTTCTTTCACTGCCAATATTTCTGAGTCACACCCAGTGGGAGGATTTGTCAAAGTGATTACTGCTACTGGCTCTGGACTCAGAGTGAGTAGCTGCCTTTTGATGTATAGATTAGTTATTCAGTCATATTTTGTATTATGAAAGTTTTAAAAATCTGTCAAATGATGAACAATTTAATCTAGTTAATGCTGTTTTTTCTCCCTCACAAAGACTTAATTCAGCCAGTCTTTTGAGAATGCAGGTGGAGTTATTCTCAGTCTTTACTCACTATAGTCATACTCTTAAGCACATGACTGTAAATAAATTGAATTTTTTTCTTGCAGGGTTCTCCAAGGTTCCGTATTACAGGAGTCTACCCAGCTCCACATTTCTTCTCCATTGTAGAAGACACTGGGGTGATCAGGGTGCACAGGTCATTGAGGGAAGACAGCCTGCAGCTGCCAGCTTTTATTGTAAGTGTATTTGGTGTAAAGATTGCAGTTGTGCCAAGAGTGTGTTGGTTGTGACAAGTGCTGGATGGCTTGCTGAAGTGTGTTAGGTGTGAAGATTAGGGTTGTGCCAGGAATGTGTTGGATGTGGCAAGTGCGGATGTGTGTTAGGTGTGAAGATAGGGGATGTGCCAGAAATGTGTTGGGTGTGACAGGTACTAGATGCCGTACACTTCTTTGCATTTATTGTGCATGAAGCAAGTGGAACTTACAGTGGAATACAGGCCTGCCAGAATGTGACAGCCTTTTGGAAGATTCAATAATGTCATTGTAGAGGAAATAGTGTCTGTGTGTCACCCTTGAAATTGTAGCAGACTTGAGAAAATTGCTGGATCCTTTCTTGCCCATTTCTTGATTCATTATGAGATTAAGATGCATGACTTGACACTATTTTCTGTTTTATTTTTTATCCCTATTATTTAATATATAAAGAACCAATACTTATTGTTCACAAACCATTTTTTTCACAGGTGAGAGTGGAGGTCTATGACTCTCTTTACCCAGAGAACAAAGCCTCAGCCACTGGTGTCATCAATGTAATGCGGAACCCAACTGGACCCAGGTTCACACCACCCACTTACAACGTGAACCTGACTGATATCTCTCCAGGGGGGATGCTCATACAGGTCTATGCTACTGATGAGGATGGGGTGAGGACAACATTATGTATAATATCCACACACAAGATTGTTACAATTATGATGTTTTCTTAATTGAAATGATTAAAAGAATGCACAGTATTCTTTCTGATAAAATTTTGGTTGAACTTTTAGCCCAGATGAAAGAACCTTTTACATGTCAATATTAATTTGTATGGAAAATCATAATAGTTATTCTTGAACATAACACAACACAGAGTTATAAAGTGTTTTTGAATTGTTTAATGTCTGTACAATTTTTGATATTTGTTTAAGCTTGTTATTAACATTACAAACATTAATATTTATTTGTTTTGTCTTGTTAGGATGACCTGAGATATACAATAGAGAGTGCTAATGATGATGGCCTCAACTTATTCCACATTACCCCAGACGATGGTGTGATCTACATGAGGAAACCTGTCAGTGAAGCACAAAAGGATGAGTATACTGTAAGTTTGTTGATGAAATGAGATACTGAATACTATAAAAATGACAACAAAATGCTGTTAGATGTACAAAAACTAGAGCTGTGTTACCAAGACATCAATTAACAAAAATTTTGAAGTGAGAGTAAAACACCACTGTCTATAAGGTACGGTAACTGTAACTCTAAATGCTTCCTTCATTTCACTTCTATAACANCTCAGAGTGAGTACCTGCCTTTTGATGTATAGATTAGTTATTCAGTCATATTTTGTATTATGAAAGTTTTAAAAATCTGTCAAATGATGAACAATTTAATCTAGTTAATGCTGTTTTTTCTCCCTCACAAAGTTCAAAATTCAGCCAGTCTTGTGAGAATACAGGTGGAGTTATTCTCAGTCTTTACTCACTGTATTCATACTCTAAAGCACATGACTGTAAATAAATTGATTGTATTTTCTTTCTTGCAGGGTTCTCCAAGGTTCCATATTACAGGAGTCTACCCAGCTCCACATTTCTTCTCCATTGTAGAAGACACTGGGGTGATCAGGGTGCACAGGTCATTGAGGGAAGACAGCCTGCAGCTTCCAGCGTTTATTGTAAGTGTATTAGGTGAAAAGATTGCAGTTGTGCCAGGAATGTGTTGGATGTGACAAGTGCGGATGTGTGTTAGGTGTGAAGATAGGGGATGTGCCAGAAATGTGTTGGGTGTGACAGGTACTAGATGCCGTACACTTCTTTGCATTTATTGTGCATGAAGCAAGTGGAACTTACAGTGGAATACAGGCCTGCCAGAATGTGACAGCCTTTTGGAAGATTCAATAATGTCATTGTAGAGGAAATAGTGTCTGTGTGTCACCCTTGAAATTGTAGCAGACTTGAGAAAATTGCTGGATCCTTTCTTGCCCATTTCTTGATTCATTATGAGATTAAGATGCATGACTTGACACTATTTTCTGTTTTATTTTTTATCCCTATTATTTAATATATAAAGAACCAATACTTATTGTTCACAAACCATTTTTTTCACAGGTGAGAGTGGAGGTCTATGACTCTCTTTACCCAGAGAACAAAGCCTCAGCCACTGGTGTCATCAATGTAATGCGGAACCCAACTGGACCCAGGTTCACACCACCCACTTACAACGTGAACCTGACTGATATCTCTCCAGGGGGGATGCTCATACAGGTCTATGCTACTGATGAGGATGGGGTGAGGACAACATTATGTATAATATCCACACACAAGATTGTTACAATTATGATGTTTTCTTAATTGAAATGATTAAAAGAATGCACAGTATTCTTTCTGATAAAATTTTGGTTGAACTTTTAGCCCAGATGAAAGAACCTTTTACATGTCAATATTAATTTGTATGGAAAATCATAATAGTTATTCTTGAACATAACACAACACAGAGTTATAAAGTGTTTTTGAATTGTTTAATGTCTGTACAATTTTTGATATTTGTTTAAGCTTGTTATTAACATTACAAACATTAATATTTATTTGTTTTGTCTTGTTAGGATGACCTGAGATATACAATAGAGAGTGCTAATGATGATGGCCTCAACTTATTCCACATTACCCCAGACGATGGTGTGATCTACATGAGGAAACCTGTCAGTGAAGCACAAAAGGATGAGTATACTGTAAGTTTGTTGATGAAATGAGATACTGAATACTATAAAAATGACAACAAAATGCTGTTAGATGTACAAAAACTAGAGCTGTGTTACCAAGACATCAATTAACAAAAATTTTGAAGTGAGAGTAAAACACCACTGTCTATAAGGTATGGTAACTGTAACTCTAAATGCTTCCTTCATTTCACTTCTATAACAATAAATTAATACACTATGTATTAATATGATATTGAAAACTGAAAACAACAAAATGACCAAAACACAACACTTTAACTGTAACATATTATTAGAGCATTAAAATAAGTGCATGGGAACACTGAAACTCCTACATGTACACATTATATAATAGTCAGTGTGAAGTCAGATGCAGACAAACATTTTCTGTTCTAGTTGGTGGTAATGGCTAAAGATGGACGTGGTAAAAATGCCACAGCCCTGGTCTACATCAATGTGGTGGGAGACAGCCTTCCGTTTTTCGAAAACTTACCAGAAACTATTGATATCCCTGACACCCGGGCTGTAAAATCCACCATCTTCACAGCTCTTGGAAGAGATAATACTTTGTCTGTAAGTAGCCAACAGGTGTTAGGCCATGAGATTTTTTAATGCTCAGGAGATGGGTTCATTTCCATTTCCCCCTGAAAGTTTATTTTCAAAAAGAGGTTATGTCATTGAAATGAAAAATTTTTTTTTTAAATCTGTGTTTAATTTACTTTTCTTGAAATTGTTAGAAAATTGTGTCCCAAACAGTGCCAAAACTCTAACTTGTGTATATAATACTAAACTTTATTCTTGATTGAATAAAATACAAGCAGATGAGTGAGTAGTAAATATTTTACACTTTCATATTACCGTCTTTGTATCCAGATTCACAATTTTCTGTTCATAGGGTATTTTGTAACTTGCTTTGGCTGAAGACATATGTTCAAAGTTAAATTCTGAATAAAAATTATGGTTATTTTTTAGGGTAACCTTGTCTATACAGTGGTTGGTAACTTTCCCGCTGAGTTGTACTTTGAAGTAGGGAACAACAGCCGGGGAGAAGGCGAGGTGAAAATAAGAAGAGATTTGAGATCAGACAACTATGGCACCAGAGTATACACAGTACGTACCAATTTTTATTATTATTATTCACAGTTTTCCTGTTTATACAGTGCATTGCTATACTGAATAAATCAGGCATTAAAGTAACAATGCTCCCAGAACATTGTCAGAATAAAGATATTTCTTTGCTAGGATTGTCACTCCAAGGCACTGCTTTGTTTAAGTTCATGAATTCCAATATTTCTTTCATGTTTTTTCTCCCTAGTAGTTTGTGTCATTGCATGCCATTTGTAGTGAGGAAGGGGGGGGGGTGCAGAGTGCTGAACTTGCAATCTCAGCTAACAAAAAAAAGTGTAACAACAATTTCAGTGCTATGTCAACATTGTCATACCTGACACAATAAATGGTATTATTTATTTATTTATTTATTTATTTATAATGAATTGCATACTTTTGTGTTATTTTCTAGGTTGAGCTAACAGTCCATGATTCTGCAGTGCCAGGCAGGAAAGGGCGTGGAGAGCTGATAGTGAGGGTGAATCGCCTGTCCAACCCCAATCCACCGAGGTTTGAGAGGAACTCCTACAACTACACAATATCTGACACATATAGCGTTGGATTGAGTCTACCTCCTCCTCGTATCAGAGCAACAGATCCAGAAAATGTAAGCCAACATTTTTATGTAATTTCTACCTTACCTGAACAATTATTATTTTAGAATTATCTTCTTTCCACCACACCAAAAACATATGACTCCAACTTAAATTGGGTAAAAACCTGTCCATACCAAATATCACATTCTTCATATTTGAAACCAGGTTAAAGCAGGGCTAAAAACCTTTAAATCATTGATAAGCAATGATAATTAAGTTTCATTTATCACTTTGCTATACCTTTGCTTGATGTTCAGTGCACTTTGGCATTTTACTGTAACTGTTTCCTTCTAAATATGTAGACAACTTCTGATGAAAATGTAAGTAAATCAAGTGCTTCTTGATACATTGATAACACCATATTTTTTAATTCATTTTATTTATCACATTATTGCACCCGTACATTAACCATGTTGACATGCAACATTCTTCTGTCTTACAAACTCAAGGTTTTGTTCACAACTTTAATAGATAAAACATTACAATTTTTGCTTCAAGTTTATTCTCCGAATGGAGTGGGCAACAGGAGCACAATATAGCTTTAATTTTTGTGCAGTCTTGATGTGTAGTGTTAAGCAAATTAGGCAGTTGCTCCATCAATTTACATTACATAATGTGTATGCTCTTTTTCCAGTGTCTTGCATTAAGCAGCATCAAACCTGCATATGTTTTATTTATTCATTTATTTATTTATTGTGAATTTCATTGTAACAGAAAATGATATAAAATATGTAAGATGCTCCAGCAGTGTCTCAGCTAACATATAAACATTGCTATATTCTAGGATACGGTATCATACAGCATTGTGGAGACTGCTGATGGTAACTCGGTATCTGAGTACTTCTTTGTCAATCCAAATACAGCAGACATCAAAGTAATAAAAAATCTAACTACAGCATCTGATGTCTACACTGTAAGTTGTTTTTGTTTTGTTTTGCTTTTGTGATTATGTTTAGAAACTTAAAAATTCTTTTGCTGAGGATTTAATTTGCCAGACATAATTTGTCTTGTTTACTTGAGTGTTATAAAGCAACAGAAAATTCATTTTTATTTGCCCATTACAGTTTTAAGTCACCCCACACTTCAAGCATATTCTGCAATTTGATCTAGAAGACTCACTTGAGATTGATTTCATGCAACAGACAAAAATCCATTTAGACAAAAAAGTGTGTGGTCAAAATGATCCAAATATTTTTAAAAAAAGACTGAAAGCTACTGTACATGTTATTTTCAGTTCATAATTGAGGCAGCAGACTCTGGTATACCAGTAGCCAAGAGTCAGGCCTATGTAACAGTGAACATTGAAAGACGTGCAAACAGAGCTCCAGTTTTCTTGCCACCATACGCTGCTAATGTCAGCCAGAACTTCCACCTCAGTGACTCATTCTTCAGAGTGCTGGTTTCAGATCGATCTGTTGTAAGTTGACAAAAATTAAGATAAAGGATACTTTCGCCAGTATAAAAAGTAAGGTTCAGGTTCACATAAAAAGATGTGATATATAGATTTAGTACAGTACTTAGTAATACATGTACATGTATGCCAAGCATGTTGCCAAGTTCAAAACTTATATTCTCATATAGTGTTTGTAAGCATCTTTTATTATACATAACAGTATAACAACACTGTCACATTTTATATGAAACATCTTACATTTAATTACTATCAATAATTTAAATATTTTTATCTCAAAAAAATATTGCAATTCACCCATTATCAAAGCCTCAGCTTTAATTATAATAATTTCCATAATTTCTACAAATTCTTTTGTTAATTTCTAGGCACCAATAAATCTAGATATAGTTGGTGAGGCTCCAGCTCCGGATTTATTCAGGGTCAACAGTGATACTGGTAAACTGTATATCAAGTCTTTAGATCTCGCCTCTCAGGTCAACTTGGTTTACTATGTAAGTATCTTGGAGATCAGTAAAAATTTTAGAATTAGAAAAATAAAACATATGCGCACTCTGGACGCTTAGGGTTGGGAAGAGTTAAAAAGTTGGTTCAAATCTGTACCTGTACACCCGATCTTCAGTTTGCCACTAGTTATTTAAAAAGTACAGCCCAAAACTAACATACTATTTATGTTAGTTGTCCAGTTAAATGTTTACTTAAAGAGTAAGTAATTTGAATCTATTACTGGACTAACATTTGTCTATTTGAGTATGTTGCATCTCCCTCTCAAAGCTCCACCTGGTCTACTGAGAATACAGGTGAACTATTTTCAGTTTTGGTATGTCATCTGCATGAAAGATCACCCTGAAACCCCCATCCTCCCTGTTTGTTAAGGCCTGGTTTTATTTTTCATTTTCAGCTGGACATTGAGGCATACTATACAGACAGCCCAGAATATAAAACCAGACAGCTCTACACAGTGAATGTCAATAGAAATCCCCATAAACCATACTTCCCATCACAATTAAACATTGTTCAGCTGAAGGAAAACCATCAGCTTGGGGTTCCTATTACTATAAATGGTCAGGACAGATTGGTGGCCAAGGACTTGGATGGGGTAAGTTAATGATTTTGAAGCCAGTGACCCTTGGTCAGGTAAACCATGTTTTAATTTGCATACCAAAGTAAAAAGTTTTATTTGCAGGAAGATTAAAAAGAGTCTGATGCTGCAATAGCACATGACAAACTGTGAACAGGTTTCAACCAAAGCATGCTCTTAAGCAGGCCAAACAGACATCTTCCAGTGATTGCGTTGGTCAAAAGAATGACTAGCAAGTAATAGGCCACCTGGCCAAATGATACAGTATATAGTTATAGAGAGATGGGCTTTGGACAACAGATGACCTTTGTCTAAGAAGCTTAAGAGCCAGAGAGTCTGTTTTTCTGTGTGCAATCAACCATTACCTTACATGGATTTGTGACTGATGCTGTTAAGCAATTTCTGTAAGATTTGTCCTCAATTTCACACATGTAGCATTGCAAGTAGTACATAATTTAAAAATTACTTGATTTGTAGATGGAAACAGACGATTCAGTTATTAAGTGTAATAGAAAAATTTAAATAAGAAAAAATAACTGCATACAATAATTTTTTATTATCATTAAAGTTATTGTTATCCATATGTATTATTTTTGTTCTGTTTTCTTTCAGGACAATTTGTATTTTGAATTTGTTGGAAATAGTGACTTCTTCTTCATCAATCCACGCACAGGCCAGATTTCATTAAAGAAAACTCTCCTTGGAACTACTCAAAATAACCATGTGGTAGGATATTGAAATAACCTATTTTTACTGCTTCCTTTTGTTAAAAAATCACTTTCTGTATTTGGAATGTAGCTAGTATGATCCAGTTAACTACTTGTTGTAGCATCAATATGTATAGTTGATATATTATTGGGTAAAGAAACTATAGAAATATTAGACTGTATGGCAGTGTGTTAGTAGTATACCATTGTGTTACATTGACCTTACATAACATATGACACATGTCATTCATGTCAACAGTTGAATGTGAGTGTGACAGACGATGGCCAGCCACCAGAGTCTGCAGAAGTCGAAGTCCAAGTAGAAGTGGTCAGAGGTCTACAGCCATACTTTGAGCAGCAGTTCTACAATGTTACCATAGATGACACAGCTGAGGATGGCACTGTGGTGCTACCTAGTCTTGTTTCCAGGAGTAACAGTGTCCAGGTTAGTGAGCCAATCAGAATCTTTGATATGTTCTTTCCTCACGCAATTAAAAGTGGATTAAAATGAGATATTAAAGGGGATAATGTCTCCTTTTTGAAAAGTTGTAGGTTGATTCTTAGAAGATAAGTATACATGTTTTGAATATTATTTTCTTTTTTTGCCCCTTTGGTACTGGAAATCATTTCACCTAAAGAAAAACCTTAAGGTGGTCTTTCAGCTTCAGTACAAGATCAGTGCTTTTTTTCTAATAATTTTTTTCTAGAGCACAGGATCATTTGTAAGATATATTGAGGCACCATTTTTCTGTATCAACTTTCATACAAAAACAGCCTTTTTTTACAGGACAGAATCATTATCTGGCCAGTTGGCACACCACGTGCCATGTTCTACTTCAATTTCAATGAAACGCGCTATGAGAACACTGGTGGAGATGCACATTACTTAGAGGGCAATATATACCTTCAGGCCAGTGTAGCAAGAGATACAAGGCCAAACCCTTACCAAGTAGGTACTCCAGATACTCTAGCAACAGCAAATTACAAACTTCTTTTTTTTTTCCCTGGCAACAATGTTGATGCACTCCTGCAGTCTGCCTGTCTGTCTTCTCTTGGACATAATCTCATCATTCTACCATTTCTGATCAGTTTTAACGAAACTTAAAAATAGTGAATACTTTATGTGTAATAGTGCAACTGAGAATCATTTTCTTGGTCTTAAAAAATCAGTATTATGCAGCTTTGACCTGACTTGGTTGAACTACATTCTGTCATAGCCAAAAAAGCATGCCTTGGTGTAGATTTCATGTTCTAGAAGTTAGTATTTTTAAAAATTCTTAGAACATGCCATCTTCTTACCATATTACTACCTGTTTCCAGCTAATCTTGGTCACATACGACCAAGCATACACTGATACCAAGAATACTGCCACAGTTCAGATTAATGTTAACCGTAACAGTGGCAACGTGTACTTCAACCCCAGTTTGTACCCTGTAGAGGTAGAGGACACTACACCAATTGGAGCAGCACTAGTACAAGTCAAGGCCACTGATGAGGATGGGGTGAGTACTGAACAGTGAATGTAAAAATGAATGCCGATGTCCTTTTTAAGGGGGAGAAAGTAGACAACAAATAAGGTTGTAGCAAAATACTGCTGGTAGAGGTAAAAATCTCTGACAGAAATGCTTATATTAGAACATTAGGGGCATGAGCTGCTGACAACCAAAATTAGTGGATTTGAGAAAAAAAAACAACTGCAATTACACCTAGGACTTAATAAAGAACCTTAGATATACTGTATTTACTATGAATTTTGGTTGAGCATTTTAGCAGTAGACCAAGAACTCTGTAAAAGTTGAACTGAATCCAGCTGCAGAAATGAAACAGATACTAATGTGGCTGCAATGATAGTTTCACCAGCTGTGATTTTAGGTGTCGCATAATATACTTGGAGTTCTTATACCAAATAATTTTCTGCACCAAAAAGTATCGAATAATTTTCTCTTCTCTTTTCTTAATGATGCACAATAAATTTCATGATCTCTTTTTGCTATTGTAGGATCCTATCACATACAGTATACTAAGTGGAGGACAATTCTTCATACACCCTACCACTGGATGGATCTACACAACTGGACAACTCTCAGACTCAGACTATTATGTAAGTAAAAATCTTGTTTTCTCAACTTGGAAAATTTTTCAAACTTATTAATAGAATAATTTGCTGAAGTATTTGTGGAAATTCACAATACTGTCAGAAGTTAATGTGAATCAAAATGATATCATACATGTTGAGTAATATCATGTTTGTATGTTAATAGTAGCATTTATATTAAGCAAAATATTGACTTGTTATTGGATGATAATTTTGATATATTTTTAGCTTTGATGTTTGTTGTCCCTAATTAAGCAAAATAGGATTTGACAGATACATAAATGTATACCAAAACATGGTAACATTTCACTGTCATGCTTGTTTGTACGAACAAGCAATTGGGTTATTTTAATTTCACTAATTAAACAGTACATGTAGGTAACAGGCAGCATTTCTTTTTACCTGTAGCTCAACGTACAGGCCAGTGACAGAGGAAACCCTGAGAAGACAGACAATGCTACTGTCCACATCCATGTTGTCTTTGACACTGATCTGCCGGTTGTCACCCTGCCACCTGGTGTGGATGTTGAAGTCACCTGGCCCAGGAATAGGGGCATTATTAATGTCACTGCTACAGATGCCAATCTTAGGGTATTACTGTGTTTTCCTTTAATATTGTGAAATGATTAGTGATACAGTGGCTAATTATCTATGAGTGAGGTTTATTTAGGAGGAAATTTGTTTTAAAATAATTAGTCTAGATTAGAATTTATAAAATTGTTAAATCATACAAGTAGTTGCTGCAAATGGATACATATGTCAGTGAAATATTTTCTCCTGTTTGTATCTCTTGAAAATTAATTTCTGTTGTTACATTTCAGGGTGAGCTGGTGTATGAATTGGTAGGGGATCACACATCAATGCAGTTCTTTGGAATCAATAATGAAACTGGTCAAATTTACCTAAAGAGGTCCCTGCTAGAAGACCCTGCACTTAATACACAGTACTTTGTAAGTGCAATTCATGTTTTAATTCCATAATTTAGCAGCTTGTAAACTGATACTACATGTAAATAAGTTGAAATAAGTTCATTTGATTGGCAAACTATTTTCCATGAACAGAAAATACTTGTGACTTTTGACCGATGGACATGGAAACTTATCCAATAAGTAATAGTTTGTTTGTGGAAAAAACATATAAAAGACCTTGTAATACTAAATAATCGATAATGTATTATCTTATTACCAGTGGTCCTGTTTGGTTGTGTATGCATTACATAAATAGCCATATTAATTTATTTATTGTATGAAACTCAATGCTGTGCCTTTTTCAGTATCATAAACCATGTAATTTTCAGTGTGTCATTAATTAAAAGAAAATTTTCTTTTTAGTTGACGGTCCGTGTGTATGACACTGCTTTCCCCGAGAACTCAAGAGAGGCTTTGACTATATTCAGAGTCAATAGAAATCCTGGATATCCCATATTTATTGGGGACTATGACAAGACTATTGCTGAAGACTATGGATGGGGTGTAGTAGTCAATGTGACTGCAGTCGATGCTGAGAGAGTAAGTTGTAATAATCTGATAGATATTTTACTATCAATTATTATTATTAATTATAATAATTTTTAGTTTTTGATTTGTTGAGAAATTACCATGATTTTAATACTGTGCACTTTTTATGTTCTTCAGCAAAAGATGGAGTATGAATTGATAGGCAACCAGAGAGCAATGCAGTACTTCTACATCAACAAAGACACTGGGGCAGTGCATATCAAGAGACCTCTGCCAGCTGGCAGGAATGAGACATTTTATGTAATTATCTTCTACTCATGTTTTATACATTTAAACAGAAACTTGATATTTTAAATAGTGCAGTTTTGATATTGATATTTTGATTATTTAAACAAATTAGTAAAAAAAAATTTGTGTTGTAATGTATGTTGGTTGCTAATTTGCAATTGATATGAATTAAATACCATTTGGCTTTTGTCTATCTCCAACCTTTCCTGTTCTAGCTCACTGTCAGGGCCACAGACAATGGAAAGCCTCCCAACTCAGAGGAGACCACTTTCACTATCCAAGTAGTGGGCACAAGCACTGGATTGCCTGTCTTTGAAAATACTCCCTATATTGTCAATGTCTCTGAAAACAGGCCTACTGACAGTTTGGTATTTGACCAAGTGCTGGCAAGGCTGCCATCTGGTGTAAGATTCAGTTGTTTTACACATTGGATTGATAGAAAAAAATAAATAGATAAACATCCCAAACTTTTTATGATATTCAGTAATATGTCACTTAATGCTTCTCAACTTGGCAGTGCCTCTGGCACAAAACTTTTGACTCTCTCTCTCTCTATATATATATGTTGTGACAGCACCACAGAGATATTTAGAATGCTTTAGTCAAAACTTTTATTTCAAACCTGACATACATTTCACTCCTCTCCTTCAGTCTCAGGGAAGAGTACAATATGAGCTGGCAGAGTATGGACAGTTCTTCCGCATCCAAAAAGACACTGGGTTTATATACTTGACAAACTCACTGAGAGATGGGAACCTGGATGTGTATAGAGTAAGTTTATTATTACGGAAGGACTTTTTACACACATTTTATATAAAGCTTTTGTTTTTTAAATTGTAAAGAATGGCATCGTACATTTTAATTGGTTAATTGTGGTATTAGAGTCTTATCCTATGTACATAATGTAACTTAGTGAAATAAATAGATTAACCAATTCAGTAGATATTTATGGTAGGATCATATTATTTAATTCCATCAGTAATTCATCATTTTTAAAAGTTCAATTTTTTGTTACATATAGTCTGTAGAGATGTTTTTTTTCTTGTCCATTTTAGCAAAGAATAGCAGCCTACAGCAGTCTGCGCCCAGATGTAAAGGCGTACACTGATGTCGTCTTCTATGTGTCTCGCAACGAGAATCCTCCTGTGCCAGAATACAACTACATAGTAGTGAACATCACAGATTATCATCAACTGGGCGCTAGGATTGTTACTTTGACAGCTATAGATAGAGATAATGTATGCACCTGGGTGATAGAGTTTACATTTGTTCATTTATACTCAAGTATTTTTGCATATGCTGTTTTTTTAAACAAAGCCAAGGAATAATAATGTGATATATAAGCGATTATTACACTTCAGTTATTATTAAAGTAACAGGGATGCAAATTTTCCTGCTTAAATGTTGTAGTGAAATTTTTGTTAGGAAAGTTGCTGGATTTTCAGAAATGGGGCAGTTTCACTGTAGGTTTCAGGAGGTCTCTGATCTTCTACATGACATTTGATATCGATAAAAAGCTATTTTAGTTGTACACTTGTGTGTAGCCTTATAATTACCTCTAAGATGCTTACATTATTGCATATGTACCACTTTCTTCAGTTTCTTAATTTTTATGGATTCAGGATCATCTACGTTACAAGCTAACAAGTAGTGGAGATTGTCTTCAGTACTTCTACATGGATTCTGATACCGGAATGATGTCCTTACGTAGCACATTAGAGGAGTCTTCACCAAGAACGTTTGATGTAAGTATATAATGGTAATTGCATGGTGAGTTAAAGAATTTCTGCTCTCAAAAATCAAGAGTACATTGAAATATTATGGATTAAAATTTATATTATTGAACTTCTTTCTTGATGTTATATTTGGAATTTTGGTTACTTTGTTCACTTAAACCTTTTTCATTTTAGGTTACTTGATTGAATACAGTTGCTCTACCTTTTATATAATCTATGTCTCTGTGTCACCAATAAAAGTACATTTAGCACATTTGATTGACACTGATGAAAAAAATCATCAGTTGCACAGCCAAGAGATTCAAAGACATTCATGGTCTGTTGCTGCTTCATTTAAGATGTATGCATTTTCAGCAGTATAACAACTGCTTAATGTTTGCACTTATGCAAAGTGCCTGTAATAAATCTTTTTTTTTCAACAGTGCCTGGTCACAATATCTGACAGAGGAGTAGGTGACAATCCAAACACAGCAGAAGTCAATATTAGGGTCAATGTGATCAAGGATGTGACACCAGAGGTTGCTAATGTCACTTTGGAGATACCAGAAGATATGGGAGTGGGGACTGTCATTGCCACCATCCAAGGCAGGAAGGACAATGTGGTTGTAAGATGACAGTTATTTTGCATGAGAAATGGCATTTATTATCAGCATAATAAAATCTAATGAATTTGATGCCCTCAGTTTCTTTTGTTTATATGAATTTATGAGAAAAATTTTAATTTTTTGTTTTTTTCAAAGATTATTGTTTGTAATTTATGTATCGGTGTAAACTATATCTTCATATGTTATGTATCCAGGGCCATTTGAAGTATGAAACAGATGGAATATACCCTGCACCAACATTCTTCTCCATCAATGAGACCAGTGGGCAGATACAGATAGCCCGAAGTTTGAGAAAAGACACATTGCGACTGACTTCCTACACTGTAAGACCTGTCAAATTTTAACTTAGTTGTTATATATTTTCGTTTAATGTATCATATTAATAGCAGTTAGCTATTCAGTAGTTTCTTACAAGTATTTGAAAAATTTTGTCAATGTTTGAAATAATAGAATGGACCAGTAGAAGCTTTTTAAGGTAAATTTATGGAAAACTTTCATTTAACATGGTTGAAAAAGTATCTACTAGTGCTTATAGTTTTTACAAACCCCACACAGCAGTGAGTTGAACATGGTGTTAATGGTGTTTCCTTTTGTTTTCAGCTTGTTGTGCGCGTGTTTGACACTTCTAGTCCTTCTTCTGTGGGAGTTGCCAATGTCTATATTACTGTTACCAGAAACCCTGGGCAAGTAACTGTCTTCCCAACATCACACCGACTCACCATACAAGATACCCAGCTGGTAGGAGAGGACCTCTTTATACTGAATGGAACAGACCCCAGTGGAGTAAGCACATTTATTTATAATTGGTCTTATAAACAACCTGGAATGAATCTGAATGGATTCATACAAAGATAAACAAGAGATAAAAAAGAAAAAAATGATTGAGTAACCTATAATTAAAAAATATTGATTGAGTAACACACAAACTACAGCTTTTATTACGAACCAGCAAGCCTGTAAATTTCCCTGTCTGCTGTTTGTTTTATTGGTTTATACAAAATAATGATATCTTGGTTTTAGGACAAACTGTACTGGAATATCAGTGGCAGTGAGTTAGCCAGGGAGTACTTCTGGGTGAATCCAGACACTGGCGCTATCTCTGTGAAAAAGGACCTAACACTGGATACATCAGGGACTGAAAATTATGTGGTATGTGTACAAACATCTGTACACTGTATTTTTATATATTTGAAGACAACCTTTAGTTTACTAGTATATGGCACAAAAGAGACTAGTTTAATTTGTAGGTCTCTTATTTTGTGGATTTAAATGTATGCAGAAATCTTTAGTCTTTGCTGTTCTTCTTTAAACATGAGACTAGTTTTATTATTAGATAGATTGTTATATATGCAAGGTAAAATATATTTAAATACCTTTATTACTGACTTTTTTAAATTTGTATTATCTGTTTTTTGTATGATTATAATGACTGAACAGATTGATAGTATTCTTTTCTTTCTTCAATAGGTATTAGTGTGTGCATATGACCCATACGGTAGCACTGCCTGTTCCAATATTGTTGTCCACGTGAACAGAGACAAAAATGTCCCAGAATTCCCAGGACAGCAGAATAATTTCACCGTTCCTGACAGCACCAATGAAACCACAGTCATTACCATTGTGCGAGCAAGAGATGATGACTGTCCTGTAAGAGCACAACTACAAAAGACTACCTTGTTTTACGAGTTATGCATTGATCAAAAGATTGATTTTTCTGCTTGTTTTAGCAACCTTTCTTGTTATCATACAGACTACCAGATGATATGAAATTTGAGATTCAAAGTTTTTGATTATGAAATCTGTAACTCCTACATGTTGCTTTAAAATTTTAAGAAAGGATCACTGCCTGGATTTTTTTACTGAATTTTTTTACTGTGGTATAATTTCCATTTGCCCTATATTTTTTATTTCTTCAGGACTCTGCCCAAATCCTATATAATTTGGTTGGAGAATTCCCAGCGCCAAGTTTCTTTGAAATAGAACCCACCACGGGAGAGATTTCCCTGAAGACTGACCTTAAACTGGATGTCTCCAACACAAACCCATATGTGGTAGGTTTTATTTTCAAAGAATTTTTTCAAATAATGAACAATAAAATTTTATTTGTTTATGCAAGCAATATGCAATCAAAAGTATTAATATGTATTTTGTTAATTTTTACCAATAATGTACAACCAAAAAGAGTTTTGAAAAAAGTTTTTAACTCATATAAATATGCATTTTTAGCAAATTTATAAATTTGTAAATTCACACCTATACTTATTTGAATGTGTCAATTGATATAAGAATCCCTCTCTCTCAGCAAAATTAAGGCGATGTGAGACTCTGAATAGTGTTTTGTCACAGTCAACAAAATATTAATCTGTCACACAACACGGTATCATGTTATCACACCTTCAAATATGCATTAATTTCCATAGCATTTTGCGACACCAGGCACCATACCTGTAACAATATCACACTGTTACATTAACACATGTGCTCCTTATTTCAGCTTCGTGTTGAGGCCTACTGCAGTGCTTTCCCAGAGAACAAAGCTGTCAAAGAGTTCTATGTGTATGTGGACAGGAACAGGTATGGACCTGAGGTGCTGAACGGACCATTTTCAACAGATCTTCAGGAGTTCCAGCCACCTGGCTATGTTATTTTCACTGTGATGGGATCTGATAGAGATGGGGTAAGATTACACTTGGATATGTACACAGTTTTATCATATAGTGTTGTAATGCAAAGATTACTACAGAGTGTAAAGTTGGTTGTATGGAGGACAGTTTCAAAAATAAACTTGGTTGGTCAGAATTTTTAGACCAGAATTTTTGTCCTTTTCAGTTTGGGATAAATCTGCAGAAGTCCTCTTATGTAAAATTGCTTTTTTTTAATGCTGTCAGGGTGCTGTATGAGTGTGATCACTTACAAATCTGCTGCACGTTACAGTAAGAATTAGTGTAACATATTGTGCAGTACTCCAGGTTAAGATTATTGTCAGGATAGCTTGCTTTTTAAGAAAAAATTGAACAATGTTGATATTTTTAAAATGTATGTTAATTCCCTACCTGAATGAAGACAAGAAATTAAAAAGTCTCTCTTCTGTATGAAAGAAGCAAATACCATTCAAAAGAAGTACTGGTTATAATTGACAATCTGTATTTTTGTTCACATCCTACTGTTACAGTAATATAAAATTCATAATTTATTTTCCCTAGGACCAGTTGACATACAGAATTGTTGGAAACAACGATGTGAAGCACTGGTTTTACATACAGCCTGACACTGGAGAGTTACAATTGAAGTCGCCTCTGTCTGAGACCAACATTACTGATTTTAACTTCCACATCAACATCACTGACAGAGGCTCTCCAGAGAAGTTCATACTGACCCCTGTGTCTATAAAGGTCATACGAGACACTGGGCCACCCAAATTTAATGGGCCTTACAGCGCTGCAGTCAATGAAACTGTCAATATTGATACCTTTGTGATTAATGTGGCAGCTGAGGACAATGACCTAAAGGTGAGATTTTAATTCGGTTCTGTTCAGTTTATTTTTCTCTTATGAATTAATTGATAAGATTGGATTCAAAATGGAAAAAGTAATTTGTAAATAATAATGGCAAAAATGATATTTGTAAAATACAGTAGTGCAATATGGTAAATTAATTAGAAGAGGGGGGGACTGATCCTCTTTGAATATTATTATAAAAAACTGTCTGGCACTAGATGGCACCCAGATGTATATCTTACATGGGACCAAGTTAATACTTGAGTAAACATAACATCAGACTGCATTTCTTGAACATTTCCATTTTTCCCCCAGGGCCGGCTGATCTATGATATTAATGGCATCAGCCCAGCACCACAGCGTTTTGTAATAAACCAGAATGGAGACATACGTGTCAAAGACAGGCTGGACAGGGACAATAATGAACAGTACAGAGTAAGTGATAGTTTTGTATGTCTTGATAGGTAGGAGTTTATTTTTAAAATGTTATAATGGCGAATGAGGATGAACAGAAAAACATATGATAAGATTTAATTGAGCCAGTCGATCAGTCATTGATTTGGTGCTATATGTTCTCTGAGAATATGATATATTCTAGAGCTATACTAAAAGAAAATTTAACTGATGTAAAGGTTATGTTAAGATAAATCTGAATTCATGTTACGTAGAGCTGTGGGACTCATGCATTTTATTTCTGTGTTATTTCAGATTGTGGTTATAGCTTATGATGAGAAGTACCCCAGCAATGTTGGCAGTGCCACAGTGACAGTGACAGTGAATCGTAATGTGTACAGACCAGAGTTCACAAGGACGGACTACTCGGCCACTGTGGATGAACACGCCCATGTGGGTCACTTGGTCACCAATGTCACAGCAACTGATGGGGATTCAGATGTAAGCAGTAGTTACTGACAGATTATCAGGATCATTTTTAAGTTCAATTACTTATGGCTTGGTGATTTTTCTTTTATTTGTAACCAATTGGAATAAAACATTTACATATAATTTTATCGCAATTCACAATTACTGAATACCTTGCTTCAACTTATTTTTTTTCTCATTTTTTAATGGTGAAAAATATTCAATGTACTACAGCAGTTTCAAACATTACTTTTTATTTTTGCAGGGAACCTTGTATTACAATATTATTGGAAACGAAAATGCCCCAGAATACTTTTTCATCCATCCAACTTCTGGGCAAATCTTGATCAGCAAGGTTCTGTGGAAGGATGCTACTCAGGCCACTTCATATACAGTATGTAGTAATTCATTAATATATAAGATATTGTATTTGAGCATCACAGTAAAACATTAAAATATTTATTATATCAGTTACACATTAAAATGCAAATTTCTCTCACAACAGATGCATCAAATTTGTTACTATAATTAGATAATTTAAGCTACACAAATGATGAACATCCCTAACAAAATATTTTGTTGTATCATTCACAAAACATGTCATGCTGCAATGAGTGTTCAGTATTTCACATCACACCTAGAGCCTTAGATTAAAATTTAGTCTCTGTGGCTTTTATACTTCTAAGAGTGATTTGATGGAAAGAAAACTGATGATCTATTATTTTACCAGGTTGTGGTGGAAGCTAAAGACCGTGGTACCCCTCAAAGGTCCAGCACAGCAGTGGTGCTGGTATCTGTCACAAGGAACCAGTATGCACCAACATTTGAGAGGGTTGCCAACCTCACCATACCTTCACACCAAGAGGTCGCCACAAAGATTTACACTATAGTTGCTAGAGATCCTGATCCACAAGTAAGTCTATGACACTGATACTTAGTGTGGAGGGAGAAGGAGGAGGGGTTAACACTAATTTTTTCTCTTACTTTAATATATCATCTGCACTATCGCATTACCACCAGTCCCACACAAAATGCCAGTAATTCTGAGGCAAAATGAAGTCCCTAAGGGTTATAGTGAAGATTCTTACAGTCTGACAATATTCTCTCTTTATATATGCAAATAAAAAGAACAAATTTGTTCATTTGTTTCTTTTTTTTCCCAGGGTCCTAACAGTGTGATCAGATACAGTGTAGTAGGCCAGCACAATGACACCTTCCAGATTGGTCCTGATTCTGGTGTTCTTTCTCTCCGGAGGTCTATTGTCAGGGACACTAGAGAGCTCTACATTGTAAGTAAATGTGGGTGTGGCTGTGGTGAAATGTTGTATTTATATATTAGCACAAACATATAGCATTATTTGACATAACATGGTCATATTACTGTTTTCTACCTGCGAGGGATGGCATTTGAACCATACATTAAGTGACCTTGATCACATACCTGATACATTTGGTTTATTCAGAAACCATTTTCTTTTCTGTTATCATGACACAAGAGATGATGAAAAAACCTGTTTTGACACCTATTTCCCGTTAACATTTATAATCTAATACCAGCAAACACCTGTTCTATTCCAGGTCACAGTGAGAGCCACAGATGGTGGCAGACCAGTGCCTAAATACAGAGATGTGAACATCTGGATCAGGGTGGTTCAGAACACCACGGTACCGAGGTTCACCCAGAGCGAGTACAGAGCCAATGTCTCTGAGTTGGCGCCACTCAACCAGTTTGTGGTCCAAGTAGAGGTCATAAGAAATGGACTGGCACTACTGGTAGGGTATACATTCTTATATGTCCACACTTCATCAATTCTGGTGTAAACTATGAAAAGTACCTTGTAGCCTTTCACAGGTGCAAAATGAATAGGGCATACTACATCCAAAACTGTTGACAAAATTACACTTTATAACATTGTTTTTGAGTTATAAGTTTTCAGCTTGCCTGGAAACAGGCAAATTCCTTTTGTAATATTAAAAATAATCATCTATGAGCTTGAAAACTGATTTGTACATGGCAGTTTTTTATAGGTTTCGAATTGCTTTTTACTTGGTTGTAAAGGGGAAATTGCTGAGATTTTCAGGATTTTTTTACTTTGAAAAGGGCATTGCATGTTATATATGGTGAAGATGTGTTGGTTATCTTTTAGGTTTTGGCATATTTTATTGTGTGCTTTCTTTACAGGGTGAACTCAGACATGATTTGATTGGCTCCGGTGCAGAGCATTTCCGCATCAATCGTGACACAGGCGCCATCTACCTTGCCACCAATCTGAAACAAATTACAGATGTCAACACATTCAGTGTATGTTTGTAGAGAATTTGTCTGCTGTATTTGCAGAATTGTTGTTATTTAGTACAGATAAAGGATTAAGTGAATTATTTCAAACAATATGTTATACTGGTATGCTTTTGTTTTATTCTCGAAAAGTAACTTAAAGTACCATGCACATGAGAAATTTGAATTAAACCATATGGTGGACAGATATATAAAATGTAGATAATTTAATAGAGAATGTAAGTTAGTCTTATATTTGCCATCTTTTATAATTGTAGTTGACAGTGGATGCCTACGACACAAGAAATGCTGAATATGGTCGTAGCTCTGTTCCAGTGTACATCCGAGTGCTAAGAGTGGCAGAACCAATCCGCTTCCTGTACTCTGCCTTTGCCATCAACATCACCGAAACACAGGAGAGAATTGTGCCAATACAGAGAGTCACTGCTACTGATCCAAAGGGAGTAAGTTGAATTAATAGCATGACAGAAAATACAGTGAAAGGAGTGAAAAACACTATGTTGAGCTTAATACACAGTCATGTCACTTCAGAGTTTAACCCAAAGGCATTATTTCCAACCTTATACAATCACATATTCGATCCTTATTCAATATCAATGGTTCATGATCATCTGCACTGTTTGGGAATACAAAGTTTTACTAATATAAAATGTTGAAAGATTTACAACTAAAATGCATTACGTGATTGGGTGCCATACTTGTAGATTTTATATTTTACAAAGATTAAAAGGTAGTAAAATATGAGTGTCTCTTTTTCTTTTAATAGGGTCAGTTGACATATTCCATTGATACAGAGGCGTCAACCAGGACATCTCCACAACCCATCACACACTGGTTTTATATCCATCCAACAGAGGGAGACCTGTCAGTAGCCAGCTATCTCACAGGGGACCCAGAGAAAAGAACAGAGTATAAAGTATGTTGTATAAACAGAGTATAAACTTCAGCTAAAAAATGGAAAGTGTATGGGTAGAGATATGCAGTAGTTGTGTATCATTGTAAAGTCAAGTATTTAAGGCATTTTGATATGATAAGAATTGCTTTTCCTTCCCTTTCAGAATTTTAAATGTTATAACACAGTCATGATACCCTGTTGTGGAATAAACATCTGAAATCACTATGTGCACGAGGAAAGCATATTGGGGCAGTTGTACTGATATCAAGATATTATGTGATGACATTTCTAAATGCAGATACAACCATCATAACCAATTGAGTGCTTTTGATCTTATGATTAAATCCCATTTGCGTATTTTAGTTGGTAATAAAAGCAACGGACAGAAGCATTCCTCCAAGAAGCGCAAGCACAATTGTCAACATCTATGTCAGCAGAAACATGCATGCTCCTGTATTCTCAAGGTCAACATACACTGCTAATGTTTCTGAATCAGACAGAATCAACACGGAGATTGTCACTGTCAGAGCTACTGATTTAGATGGAGTAAGTGGACATTTCACCCAGTTTTCACAAGTTTTTTTTTTCTTTTTAAAACCTTGACTAGTAGACTACATGGCAATGATGAGTTTGTCAAAGTAATATTTGTCATCAAATCAGATTTTGCAATTAAGTCCTTAAAAAATCAAAAACATATACAAAAAAGATGTAAAATTTATTATGTCTCCAGATACCATCATGTAGCTGATTATATTCCAGTGAACAATCCACAACATTCTTATATGATTCAGAATATAAATTTTCATAATTGGTTTTCAGGATGCAGTGAGATACAAAATGGCAGTTTCCAATGAAGTGACCTCATACTTCACGCTGGATGAGGTCTCAGGCACCATCAGCATCTTCAGGAACCTTCAGACCATCCCTGGCGACTTGCTAGAGTTCCAAGTAATTGCCACGGACAGACGAAACCCAGAGAAGACCAGCACCGCCACAGTGATCGTATACGTCAGCAGGCCCTCAGTTTTGCCAGTTTTCAGCACTGAATCCTACAATGCCACCATCTCAGAGTATGTCAGAGTGCAGACACCTGTACAGACAGTCAAAGCTGATGGACGGGTAAGAATATAGGTGTACCTCAATGGAAGATGTTTATAAATGACTTAAGTTAGTTTGATGGAATATATGAAATGTTTATATATTTTATTTTTAGTTATTATTTATTTATTGTAACTAATTTCAGCTGTTGCAACATCATATGAACAATGAGCATTCTCTGCTTTGTTGTCAAGTTTCTCCATTGCTCGCCTATTTTTTTCATTATTTTAATTCTATTTTTGTTTCTTGTATCTCACAAGTGCATCATTTCTATTTCAATAATGACTAATATACATGTATATATTTATATACATGTATGTATTTTTATAGAACTCCATTCGATACACTCTTCAAGGCAGAGGCAGTACCACTGGTGCTGCCAGATACTTTATCATCAGCCCTAATACAGGCGTTGTCACTGTAGCACAGTCATTGTACACGGATCTCACACAGACAAAGCTGTACCAGGTGAGTACATGTATAGTAATGTCATCATGCTGTAGTATTGACAATGTTGTTACTGTTCAATACTATAACTGATGAAGTGAGGCTTAATATTGCATGAGAATTCCACACAATGGGTCATACACAAGTTTCCATTTCATAGTGTTTTTCCTGTGCATCATTGTGCGGTGTAGTTCACTCATGATCATATTTGACAACACTGACATATATAATAATTATAACATTATGGCAGTGCATTTGAATGATACGACAGTCACAATTGGCATATACTAACAACATGGACATGGAATGGGCTGTCTGTAGTTTTGAACTAAGTCCTGTCAGTTTGCTCTGTTTCACTTGTCATTTACAGGGATGCCAATGACAACAGTTTCATTATTTAGATAACTTACCAGTATCTGACTCGTGAAGAGACACAACTTTATACATAGTCACAACTAAATGTTTTGTATTTCAGATGGAAATCACAGCCACAGATACAGTTGGAGCTATCCCATACACTGCTACAGCATACCTCGATGTTATTGTTTTACGAAACGAACATGGTCCAAAGTTCAGCCCTGACAGATATTTACAAAATGTCAGTGAGGAGATTCCATATGGCACCAACTTGGTGACTGTCAGCGCTACCGATGAAGACAGCATTCTACAACCTGGAGTAAGTATGAAATTGGTGATTGTCAACAATGTGAAAATAGTTCTCTGTTAAAGGCATTGAATCCAATATCTTAAATTATTTTCACTGTGTAAAATAATGATAATAATGTTCAGCAATTAAACCAATTGCTGCTGAATATTCCAAAGAGCAGCACAGTTATCCCTTCAATTTTGTTATTGTTATGATATTTATGTGATGTGTCACCAACCTAGTGGTAGTCAAAGCAACATCAGTATGTAACAAATGCCATTTAAATATCACTGTGTCAATAAACTGCATTGAATTTGCAGTGAATGATGATTTTTGTTTTTATTCCTTTATTGCATTTTCCTTCATTTATTTGTTTCAGTACCCTAGCTCAAAGATTACATATAGTATCAGTTCCCAAGATCAGCTAGGTAACAGGTTCTTCCAAATCCACCCAGACTCTGGAGTTGTCTCCATCAGACAGCTACTGGTCAATGACATTGACAGGAGAACTCAGTACACGGTAGGTGTTATACCCTGGACAGGAAATCTCAATATTTTTAGTATTTCCTAAGATTTTGTCTCAGATTATTTGCTATAGTAAATGTGAGTCAATAATTGCATTATGGACAGACTTAATAACATTATAAAACCAAGACTCATTTGAAAATTCATTTTTTTTTTTTCAGTTTACTGTCATTGCCAAAGATGGAGCCACTGTTCCCAAGAGTTCCACAGCATTGGTTGTGATTAATGTGGCAAGACAAGACCAACCAGACACTGGAGAGAAGGTCCTAGGGTTTGAAAAGAATTTATACTAGTAAGTAAAGCACTAATCTCAAAAATAATAACATATGTACATTTACCTTATATATACATATACAACTAATTAATTGATATATTTAAGTATAAAAGCAAGACAGTTCTGATCAAATCATTGCAATAATCATCCACATTTCAGATTTACCCTTATTTATTAATAATATCATTTTGTGCTTGTGCTTCATCTTTCTTCATGTCACGTGTCATTTATTTTTAAATGCTTTTAATTTCAGCATTGGCACTAAAGAAAATGTGGCCAAGAACAGGAAGCTGCTGCACTTGACAGTTCGATACTCTTTGCTCAATGCTGCTGTACAGTGTAACATTGCTCCTAGAGATATTGGTAGTAAGTAATATATGTGTTGCTGAATAGAGCCATTTGATAGTAGTTAGATTCTAAAAGCTATGAATTATTATACAGTACCAGTAATATGTACCTTTCTGTCACAAAGAACACAACACATAATTGACTTACCATTACAATGAATGTATCACAACGGTTCTTGCCACGCCAGCCTCTTGTATAACTATTGTCAGATGTGGGTCATTTTGTCTTCAGCATGACCACATTGAATTCTGTTGTTTTTTCAGATGTGTTTGAAATCAGAAGGAATTTCAAGGATTGTGAACTTTGGCAGATCGGAGATCTGGACAGGGAGGCTGTGGACTTCTACAATTTAACAATTACAGTCGAAAATGTTAACCCAGAGAACTCTAGGAAAAAGAGGGGTAGGTTTTTGCAGACAATGTTTAAAGACTGTAGACATTTTTAGACATTTTGGATAATAGTTGAGTGCTTGTCTCAGATGTTGGAAGATGTTCGTTCAATCTCCAATGATGTGTCCATACCAAAGATTATTTAGAAAATGGTACCTACATGTCCCTTTGTAAACATTAGTATTTGTATAAGCATGTGTGAATGTTTGAAGCAAGGAAAGAGCTATGGCCTGATTGCAGTATTGCTGATTATTGAGAATGATAATAATGATCACCACATGTACATAGAAGTTTGTGTTGCATGCTGTCAAGGGGGGGTGGGGGGAGAGAGAATGATTTAGAATGTGACGGGTTTAGGTGTAAAAGACCAAACGTGAAGTTTTGAGTCTTATTGAGAATATCAGGTTATTTATCAACTGTTTGATTTGTCAGTCAGATATGCCCTTCAAAAAACTACACACAAGTTTTTGAAAAATAAAATCTTTTTGTTTATTTCTTTGTAGCTGTGGTTTACCACACCTACCAGCCAGCCACTGTTTTGGTTCATGTGTTCGACGCCAATGACAATGCACCACAGTTTGTTTACCGCCAGCCCCCGTACCTCAAGTCCATACGTGACCCCACGGAAAGCGTGTACTATGGCGTCATCTCTTCTGCTGCACTCCCCTTCAGTCCAGTTGTACAAATCTGGGTGAGTTATAACTATGCCCAAGAAATTTGCCCAGTCTGCTCAGGAATTTACAACTTGGGCATTAGTCTTATTTATTCCATGATGTATTTCATCACTTATAATATCCATTGTCTGTGTTTGGCAAAATGGAAAAATAAGGATGGTCTTTTTTGGCCTTTGTAAATATTTCCTTTTTTATAGTTATCAAACAGGAGGTCCTTTCCTTTTCATATTAATTTCCAGTTTTCATTTACATTTTTTAATATGCAGAATATGTTACATTATATGTACAAAGCTGTCTTACAGAAATTGAGAGCTGTAAGAGTGTTTTCTTTGGAAATATCAACATTTTACCCTTAATCACCCTTAAGTATTGAATATCCTATTCAATACTCTTTAAAAATTTTAGATCTTTAAACTCTTTTTAAGTTCTAAATGTCTATTTTACAGTGATATCTGATAGTGATAGTTACTCTTTTTAAGAGAATGATTCAAAAGTTATTGACTTAGAGCCCAGAAATGGATTTATTGATTGCAACTTTGTCAATTGTTTTACATGTGGTGTGCCTTGGTGATTAAGGGAAAAGATGAAATTTTCAGATAATTAATTCTTCTGTTGTAGTACAATTGCATTTTTAATCACAAACAGTTACTCAGTTTTTAATGATATAAAATGGATTTTTGACAGGCAACCGATGCTGATTTGGGCCCCAATGCCAATGTCACCTACGGCATTCCTCCTGCAAATGGTGCCCCACTTCCTTTCACCATCTCTTCACGGGACGGCCAGATCTATACTACCAAGCACTTTGTCTATACAGAGGAGCGCAACAAGACCACTGCGGAGCCCTTCAAGCTGGAGGTGTTTGCTGAGGACAACCCCACTGATATTACGGAAACACCCAATAGAAGTGTTAATGTTGCCTGGGTAATTATAAGTTTAATTTATTTGTAATTTTACTTAGAATTTTCTGTCATTTAGCGTCATTTTCTCATTCTAAATAGAATTTTCATATCAACAAGTTATTATGCCTTAGTTAAGGTAAAATAAGCTGTTGTTTGAAGTTTGCTCACTTCTGCTATTGTACAGAGTGAATATGGTGTAATATACCAAAAAGACCAGGTTTCTATGCCTAGTCAATTTCCAGACATTTATAATACCCTTATTTTAAATTAGATCAATCTCATTTTGGATCGCCACCGCATGATAATGAGAATAGCTAAGCAGAAACCAGTCCAAGTAGCTGCTTACAAGGCTGCCATCATAGAGTAAGTGTGTAGGAAATGTGTTCAGTGTATGTAAGATATTTATATACCTAAGCAATTTGTGTACACAGTCCATGAATTGTATTAAATATTTATTTATGTCCGTGGGTTTTTTCAAAAAAATATTTTCCATTATATATGTAAATTTATTTATTTAGTTGTATATTTATTTATTTGTTTGTTTATAAATGGTTGCAGTATCTGGCTCACAAGATAGAACATTTCTACCAGTTTGAATTTCTCAAAAATACTGCATCAGTAGCAGCTTCAGTGTTAAAGGTACATTAGTTCAGTAATAGTGCGGTTCTGTTTTACAGCATACTACAACAGAAGTCTGGTTATGTGATTCTTATTGAGAAGATAGAGAATGCCAATTTGCAGGTTCAAACAATCCGAAATAATGTGGAAATCAGAAGTTCTGATGAAGAGTGAGTATTTGAGTTTTTTTCTAATTTGTTTGCTTAATGTGATCTTACATGTCTGCATTGTAAGTTTTCATGTCAAATATTCAGAACAATGTCACATGTAGTTTGACAAAAATAGAAAAAGTTTTCCCTTGATTTATTAAATATATTACATGCATTTTCTGTTCTATTCTACCTCAGTACTGACCTGTGGTTTGTGGCTGTAGATCCAACAACTAAGAAAATTGTGGAGAGGGCACAACTAGATATTGAAAGGTAATTTACATTTGTATTAATTAAGTTTTCCTATTTTTGTTCTCTACTATGTGCTAAAGCAGGTGAAAGATTTAATCGTCTTCATCTAACTTTTTGCAAGTGGAGGCCATTTCAGACCAAGTTCTATGAAGTCCATACCTTACACATTTCCTTTTGTCTCTTTATATCTTCAGGCTAGAAAAAGGCATTTTAGAATGTATTTTAATAACTTTTTTTAACAAAAACAATTTTAGTATTTCAAATGTAATGCCCAACATTTTGTTTCTATAATATCTGATTATCTTTATACCTTATTCAACACCAGTAAAATCATGAACAAGGCAGCTGTTGCTGGAATTGCTAGTGCAGTGAAGGCAGGACCTGGTGTCAGAGTGGATGACATCCGTGCTCCTTACACTGGAGAGACCAAAGGACCCACTGCTGCTGAAAGCAAGTTTGTCTACATGAACGATGGGGACATCTGGTGGCCATATTTGGTGATTGCCCTCCTCATCCTCATTCTGGCCATTGTGGGCATTATTTTGCTGTGTTGGTTCTGGTCAAGGTAAGGTCATCTTTGGTCAGTGCTCTGCCCATCTGATTTCTGGTATGTTGGTTCATGTCAGTGTATCAATGTATTTGGTGAAATTGAGCTATATTGTTGTCTATATGGAAGTCTGTTCATGAGGCCCTTGCAATATATATATATATATATATATATGGCAGCTCCTTGATAGATTGACCTAATAGCCTGGCTCTTATGTAAGAAAGAGTCCCGTTTACATGTAATGACCAATATTGAAAACATAATGATACAGGCTGCATAAAATGTAAAGGGCATAAGAGATATTACACTTCTTGAATTAACAGACACGTACAGCAAGTGCATGTGCTAACAATCAGTACCACTAAATATAGCAATGACTATTTACTTGCATAAGAACCATAAAATATGCTTATTTATGACATCATTTGCATTTATACAAAATGAGCCATTGATTCGCATCTTGCATAATACATGTTGTTGTTTTTTTTTTTTTTTTCTAGATACAAACGTTACATGAACAGAGAGAGCCACCTATATGTGCCTGGAGGAACTATGTACGGTGCAGAGTTTGTTGAACCACCAGCCTATATGACTCATCCAGATGAAGAAACACAGGTAAGCATAACATTAACATCACATTATTTTCACAAGTTTTCTTGTGGAAGATAGGTGGCACAGATCACAGCAATTGGATTATGCATTACCTAGAAAGTTCAGTATTCTATTTACCTTTTCGTCTTGTGATATCACTTACTGGATGAATCAAAACATTTACTCTCTCATTATGTGATTTTATGTGTGATATTTTCAGAGGTACCAAACTCGAAAAAGATGTCCTTGTAGAGCCTATTTTGACTTATTTAACATGTTTGTGTTATGTTATTATTAGTGTTTTTCATTATGTAATTTATTATTATACATTTTTTGGAAACCTTTGTGGTCAAGGTGTTGATTGTACTCTATCAAAGTTTAATGGTATATACTAGTACATGTAAGTCTGCACTTTTCAGCTAACTGCTTTGCCACTTGGATTAGTTGACCCCAGAAACCATTTGTCTGAAGATAAAATCTATAGATAATGCAAAAAGAAGTTTAAAACAAAAGCTAAAGACAACCATTCTCAACTCAGTAATTATATTATATTTCTTTCAGACTTAAAGACATATTAAGATGTCAAGCAATCCACATTTTGACAAGCACTTTTTAAAAAGCTTATTGATATAATCTTCTCTCACTTCTGTATGATAATGATAAATGAATGGTGACAGTCAGTATTTGTTTATTTAGAGTCTAGGGATGTATGTAGTGAATGCGGATGATGGAGATGAAGTACAAGTAGGTTTCTTTTTAATATTAACACCCATATTTTATCCCAGTATATTATTTCCTCACAAAGCTCTATGGTATGGTCCTGGCCCCACAAGTTGTATGGACACCATGCTGTGCAGTTGGATTGATTGCTGCTAGGTTGCTGTTTTTTAAATATGCTGAAAAATGCCCTGGTTCCTGCAGCATTTTTTTTTCTTTTGAGAAAAACTTCAAGATCAAGTGGCATTTTCTATATTTACCAGGCTTTCTTCACATCATTTCGCCCTATCAAGACAAATACATTTTCGTTCTGAACCAAACATCCCTTGGTTGTTGATTGGGCATTGTAAACAAGATTTTGAATGTCTGACCAGCTGATACCTGCTTTCGGCTATTTCAACCTGCCCTTTTTCACCTCACGAAGACTCACCTTGCTTAATAATTTGCTTCCTACCCTCTCTCCCAGAGCTTTGGACTCTACCTTTCACCCCCTCCCCCTTCTCCCCACACAGATTCTCCAGACCCCCCTGTCCCCAGCAGACCCCTCCAGAGAGCCTCTTCAACCATGTTAGTCATATTATAGGATGCACATGTTCATGGTGCACCCACTGCAAACACACCTTATCATTGATGGTATGTACAGGCACATGCATGCATGCACCACTTATTTCTGAGTCATCATTTTTCGAGTCGCAACATTTTCTTAAAAGCACACCATTAAAAAAAATTTGCCCTGTTATATTCCCTGTCACTTCCAAGCTACCCCATTGCTATGGCTCATGTTAGGGGAAAAAAGGAATCTTACTGTTAAATGTTTTATTTTGTACATATATATAGTGTGATTGATAACATAAAATTTTCTTTACGTGTTGTATTTTTTTAAAAATCTGTACTAACTTAACATGAAATTTTGTGTATGAAATTGTGAGATTTTTTATAGTGGAATACTTTGAAAAATATTTTTATTTTATATTAGAGAGAGTTATTTTCATACAACTTGTGCCAGTTACGTGTAGATTATTTAGAATGACATAATTTCAGGGTGCTGCTGTGAATTTCCACGACTCTGATGTTGAGGATGAGACCAAAGTAATCAAACTTAAATGAAACTAACACCTTTGATCATAATATATATATATATACTTTTGTTTCGAAAAAGAAAGTTTCTTCGCCTAATATGAGCTGGGATTTTCTCACATATTTTTGTTTAGAAGATAGTTTTGTATGAATGAGAAAAAAAGGATTTATGTTTTGTCCAGTGTTATTTTAAATATATCTTGAACATTTGAAATATTTTGATCATAGCTCAAGAATATGTATACAAAAGAGAAACTAAATACGTTCAGTCATCACACTTTGATTAATTTCAAGAAAAAAGAGCTGAGTAGAAAATTTTGCCATGTTTCAGAGTGTGACCATGAATGTAGGGGATCATATACAGGAAGACGAAACAAAAGTAGGATTTTTTTCTAGAAAGAACTTTTAACCCATATAATATATTTATATATTTATATATAAACATTTATTCTGGTATTTCTTTTGCATAAATTATATGGTGCATGGTGATTGTCATTGAAACTCATTCTAGGATACTATACAAAATATGTGTTTTATTACTAATAGAAAAATTGACACCTTTAAAAGAGAATTATTCTCAAGTACAACAAAAATTTTGGGTACAAAACTGTGAAGACAAATTTTGAATTTTGTGTTCTGATTGTCAATGATCTACATAAGCATTCTTGATATCTGATATCTGAAAAAAAAATTTATGAGATTGGATGCTTGGTAAATGTCTATGTACCACTTAGCATGAGATGCAATTTGTCATTTTTCCTCCCAGTATATTTTACAGCTGAAATTCACCAACCATTTTTACATTTTCCATTGACCTTTGCCAGTTTACCTTATTTCATCAAGATTGCATGAGAGACCACAAACCTCAGAAAACTAAAACCAAGAGGGCAGTAGTAATTCCAAGTGATGCATGGTCACACAAATATCTTCTGATATGAGTAATTAGGAGTGATTAGTACTAGAGTTTACAAGTGCATGTGTGTAATTAACTGAATAATTTCCCTTAGTTGTATTTATTGATTGTGCATGATATAGACCCCCCTTATTATGTAGACATAAAATTTTTATGACTTCAGTCAGTGCAAGTGCTTAGCTATCATGAAATATGAGTATTTTCTCCGATATGCATAATACATTCCTGGTTTTACTGTGGTTGCCAATGAAATATGTGACAAGTCTGAAAACTAAATAAATTAATTTAGTAACAATATGGGTTGAGGAAGATATTAACTTTCTTTTTCTGGAAATGGGGCACACTCATATGTCTCTTTAGTGATAATTAGAACTTTCAGATGTCAGTGGCAGATATTTAACATGCAAGACTATCACTCATTATGGTTTAGAGATACCATAAGTGCATATGGCTTCCCAGATGCAGCCTTTCAGATTGATAAACAGTAAAAACCCTGTATCATTTTGATTTCTTTTACTGCAGAGTGTGACCATGGTGTTTGCCATTGCCTCTCCTGGAGATGATGAAGAAGAAACTAAAGTATGCCATGAAATTGTGTTAGGTGTGATGTTGTCTCAACCAGCACACTCCATTGCTGTTCTCTTTTTTCAGCTTTTTGTAGCTTGTGATTGTGCAATATGTGAAACACACATTTTTATGTGATGTAGCTAGTAATACCAATTTAAATGTGCTGATTCACTTTTTCACACTGATAAAGGTCTTTCTCTATCGAGCCATACTTGACATTTATGTGAACAATCTATTACATAGGAGCATGGACAACACTACATTCTTGAAACACATTTTCAAACTATTTCAGTGCTTGCGTCACGGTTTATTTTAGAATTTATTTATCAGTATATTATTTGTGTCACCTTTCATTTAATTTTTCAGATTCTGTATGATCTATTATGTTTAATGTTCAGTGTAGCATGACATTTTCTGTTTTAAGATATAAAGATATAGGTCTGAAGAGATTTCTCATTTATATATTCCATTTGTTTTATGCTAAATTGTCTCTGTGCAAACATGTGTATGGTGTGACTTAAAAATTATTCTCCTCAGCCAGCAAGTGACTTTATTTGTATTACTGTGTCCATGTCCATGCTAGACCTTGCAAATGTTCTAAAATTTTGAAACAAATATCTAGTTTGACATATACCTGTCATATAATAAGGAATAAATTAAAATAAACTTATGAATTCTTTTCTTTTAAGTTTGACAATTTTGGTTACCACAGAAACAATATATATATATTAATAAAACATCCTCTCCCATTGCATGATCATTAATCCCAGAGGGTGTGTAAACAAAAAAGAAGTATGGATTCTAAGTTAAAAGTTCATGGAGTTGTCATTGTTAATTTTCCAGAGTCTCACCATGTTTGTGCCTACGGATGAAGCTGATCAAGGTCTCGGAGAGGTCAACCTCACCTTCCAAGCAGATGATCTCGCACAGGCCTATGCTACTGGAGGAGCACACACGGAAGCCATGCAGGTTACGCACACTGCAGATGGTGGAGTGGCTGCTGCTATTAACCCTACCTATGAAGGGTAAGGTTCGCAACCATGACATATCAAATACGTCATCATGCATCATTGCAATATACACATATATCATACACAGCACACTGCCACAATTTTAACATCATGTAAAGCAACACAATTTTAAAACTTTCAATGCCACAATATACCCTCTGTCACAACTAACACACTTTCACAATATACCCACTGTCACAACTAACACACTGCCACTATTTACCCTCTGTCACAACTTACATACTGTCACAATATACCCATAATATACAAAGACAGATATCCATGTCAGAAGCACTATCACCAAGACACATTGAAAGAAACATATATAATAAAAATCTTATACATGGTTCCAGATTCTCTGTAAGTTGAGCTATTAACTTTTGCTGATTTTTACATGTTTATGTGTGATCTTTACTCTGTTTTATATTGTTACAGGAATAATGGAAATACGTAATGCACAGTTGACTATAATCAACTTAAATTTCGACATCTTTTTCTTTTAGAAACCAAGCCCATACCACAGAAACCCGTGAAGAGCGTTATGTAACATCTTATCAAGAAAGTCGGACAGAACTTTAAATATGCAGCTGCAAGAAACTGAAAATATGTGATAATTTTGAAAGCTGCAATGTTGATATCAACTGAGAATCAACTGTGACTATAATGACAAAGAACTTCAGATTACCAAGCAGTTATTTTACACATGCTGCAAGAGATTAAGATAGTGCCATTAAAAAAAGTGAAAAACATTGGAGAAATCCATTTGATGTATACTTAATATAAATTACTGTATTTTTGTGCCATAATTCTTCTTAAAAAAAAAGAGATAAGTCTTTCCTCCCAATCTTTTCTAACTTTTAAATTATGTTGTATAATGTAGGGATTAATTTTAGTTAAAATATCTAGCTTGCTTAGATTTATATTATTATCATTGTGCTTTATATTTATTACCTGTTAATTTAAATTTAGACTTTTTTCAATGTTTGGCCTATGAATTTGAGGGGTCCAAGATTATATAGCTATTTGTGTCATTTTCTGAATTAAACATGTGCCACTTTGATCTACTTAATATAAATGTGCTGCCATAGTCTACTCAAGTTTTCATTGTGTCTTTAATGTCTCTGTAACCATTGTTGAGCAGTGGTTTTTGCAACAAACTGTAATATTTGTATTGTGCAAAGTGGTTATTTATAACATATCTACCATATTATACATACATCTCTATAAATGTATGAATATCTCTAAAGCATAATATACACTTTATATACCATTTATTATTTGGATTATACATTGTTATAACCAACTACCAAAAGGCTTATGAAGCTTTACATATCATTTTGTAAATTTTCTATGAAAACTGTATTTAGTGTGGAAGAAAGAATAGTAGGACACAAAAAAGTGTTAGTATAGATGGAAGTCCTAGCTTTAGGAGAAGGATAAAATGAAAGTGTTTCAAAAATTTAAAAACCTTAATTCTAGAAATGCACTGTGTAATATAATGCACATGTAATAAGAGAGAGAGAGGAAGAGAAATATATCACTATGAATCTATGCAAATGAAAATGAAGTGCACTCTTGTGGCATGTTTGTATGGGACCAACTGCAATTAATTTTGCTTTTCCACCATTTCAATTGGTTGTGAATTGGTTTAACAGTCAAGTTATTAGCTTGGTGTAGCATAGCTTTATAAAGTGATACTTAAATATTTAAATGTTATTTATTACCTGTATTCAAGTACTGCTAACACATTTTAGGTGTTTTTTTTAATTCACACATTCCTCTGATGTCACATCTGCTTTTCAATATTGCCAAGGATATCTTGGACACCTCAAAAAATTTTTGTAAAATTCAAATGAAAGTTATAATAAAATTTAGCAGTGAAATATACCTTGTTTTATTAAAAGATGTTTTTATTTAAAATGGGTTTCCTTTACTATTAGAGACAATATATAAGTTTAAGAACTTGAATGCCAATTAACTTAACTAAAAAGAAAGTAAAGCTAATTGAAAATTGCATAGTAAGGTTGATTAGTTAAATTTTACTTACTGCTTTAAGTAATGCTGCACTTACACCCCATTTCCATAGATTTTTAGATCGATCTATTCCTGTGGGGAGTCTCACTAGATTACTGTCAGCTTGGCCGGCTTAAGCGTCTGTCCCGCCTACTAAAAGCTGTAAGGGGGTAATTAACTATGGTGCCCGCTCGGCTGACTGCAATTTAGCGTGAACCCCCAGGGAGTTAGGTCGATCTAAAACTTAATCTTTAGATCGCTCTAAATCTCTGGAAAAGCACCCTTAAACTCAAATTGAGCTATTATTGTCGGCATAGGCTACTTAGGCCTAACTCTTGTATCAAATCAGGAAAAAAAATACATGAAAAACCAAATGATCTGAACACGAATTATTTAGAAAATCTAAAATATACACTAGCTCTAAAACAACAAAAGTGATTGCGTTATGACCAAAGATTTTTTTATACAGACAACGTAGGATCGCTGAATTGTCTTAGATGTGCTACACCTGATTCCATGATATCACACAGGGTCATATACTAACGCAAAAGAAAAACTGGTGTTGGAACCAAGCAACGCGCAAAATCGATATTTCAGTAAATCAAGGTACATTTTCATCAACACTGGATAGCACTATCCTATGGACAACACCATCCACTGGACGAAATTGTCCTCTGGACAGTTATCCTATGGGTAAAGTGATATTCCCTAAATACTTGACAAATATTTTTTTGTTTCTGATGTTGCTATCCAGTGGCTGATATTATTATGATAACTGTCTAGAGGATAACGCTTTCATCCAATGGCTACTGTTATCCATAGGATAGCGCTATCCAGTGTTGGTGAAACTGCTATGACGTCGACTGTCAATTTATGACGTCGGTGCACTGTGACGTAAACCGCATTGTGATTTGAACCAATCCATGAACCGAATGGGAGCGTAGCAACCCGCTAAACTCAGAATTGCGCATTTCGCGAATTGGTGAGTAGCAACCTTTTTTTTACTCTTAAATTCAAAAAGACTAAAGGGCGTTAAAGAACTATCGTTTGTCATTTATTTCTTCTTTATTAAACGTAATTTGCCGTGTTTGGTTTGTCTTTATTCACAGGAAGATTATAAAGGAACATTTCTTATTTCTTACAAATTTACGTCCGTCAGCTACGTTGACCAATAATTCTTTTACAGCATTTCTCAGTAACGAAGGTTTATTCATCTTTTCAGAATTCTACGTTGAGATATTGAACGATTGTACTCTCTATATATGTTCGGTGAATGTGGAAAATCTGTAGAAGTAGAAAGTGGTGGTAAGTAACAATTTGTCGACGTGCATTGTACACACTACACCACTACAGCAAGTCCTTTTATTATTTCATATACGCATATTGTTGTATTATTTATTTATAACGCTTCTTATAAACGTTCCTTATCAGATATGTTGATAATTTACATGTAGGCCTACTAAGTTTTGCTAAGGAATGATTTTCAGAAACTATTTCAAATATATTGGTTTTTATCTTTGCATCTTTTGGAAATTAAGATGACATACATATTGATTAAACGGTCTTGAATTATTCTGAATAAAGCACCTTCTACATCTTGTCTTCTAGGGTGTAATCACGGCATAGAGCCAGTGAGGGCGTGCCCTCAGTGGGCGTGTCCACTAGACCGTCCAAAACACGCCTTCGCCCGCGTGATTGACGTAACATCTGGAACGGCATGTGCCGGGATGTTTTGGGTCCCTATGATTGGCAGGCCCGTGGGGTGGCGCTTGGAGGATCTGCCCGGCCCTGAGGTCGCCACCAAGGTTCTCTTCCTCAACAAACTACCCACGATTGAGGAGGACCCCCTTATATGGCCAGGTAGGGTAAAAAATTCGACACATTTTCAGACTTTTTTCTCATTTCTCTTTTAATCCACTTATCCAATTTTCAATGCCAAAAGATGTGCTCTAAATTTAATGTCATGTTAGTAATGTTAATTATAGTAATTATATTAATTTTAGTATTAGTAATATTGATATATCTAAATCCCATTGTTTATTAGCATGGAGAGATAATTAATTTGAAAATTTTTTTCCCTTTAGATGATTACGCTCGCAAAGACAACTTTGAGAGCGTCAACATCAGCAAGAAAAGAAAATCCTTTTTGAAAAGAATCAAGAGAAGGATTGTGAAAGCATTGCCAAGATGTTTAAAGCAGGTAAGAATATTAAGTATTGAAACATGAACTATTTTATTTTATTGTATAAGAAAAAATAATCTTATCAACTTTGTTATTCCGATGATGCCGATATACATGAAAATGTTGCCAATCTTCATTAATATGTCAAATTGTTGTTTATTTATTTATTTATTTATTTATTTATTTATTTATTTACAGTGCTTCTCCAAATCATAAACACTAGCTAAGACCATCTCCTGTCGTGATCACCGGGGAAAGAGCAATATGAGCTACTGGTCTTCCAAGATCTTGACCAGCTCAAAGGAGATGCCTGATACAACAGCTCCGCGTCGTGCAATATCTGTGTGTTGATACCGGGGAAGTGCAATATATATTTGTGTCCGTGGCTTGTGAAGAAGTTACCTACGCAGCTGCACAAGGACTTCAGCAAGTCACGTGGATTATGAACTATTTAGAGCGGCATTGTCAAACTGAAGAAGCTCTCTTGTTCAGCAGTGCTGGCGGTTGTTAATATGTTTATATTATGTTAATATGTATATAATTGTATATATTGATAATATGAACATTGCTCCTTATATCAAGAAAGGAAAAAACGGACAGATTTGTTCAGCTCTTAAGCAAAGTTATCAGGGCTGTGTATTGTAAATATTGTTAATACTCTTGTCATTGTAAATAATAAAAAAGATGTATCTTATGACTTATTTTTTTCTCGGATAAAAACCAAGCCCCTTATTTACACTTTTAAGCGACATTGGTAAACTCTGTCACCAACTATTTTAGCCTTATATATTATTTGCTTTGTTTGACTATAACTTACCTACAGTGTTCGAAATTAACGCTATCCCACTGACCCGAGTCCGACAACTTCAATTCTTTCGCATCTGACAGGCCAGACAATCAAGCAACTTCTTCGAGAAGGTTGATGTACAAGCAAACTTGAAACATTTATAATATACATTTATTACGTGACATTTGTACTTTAATAAACCACCTGAGAATATTGAAAAAACGGATAGATGATGTGTGTGTGTGCGTGTGTTTGTCCAAATGGTTGTGAGGGAAGTCCAACCAGTTTCTCTTATAAATGACCTTATTACCAATCCTTTTTTTTTTCATGTTTGTGTCGCATTCTATAAAATTCAACTTGATATCGTAGGAAAATTCACTTCATATCCGTCATGTGAAATCCGTTCTTCTGTTTCGAGGGGCGGTGGGGGCGAAGGAGAAGCCTGGTCATCTTACATCACGGCGTAAAGGTCTGAAAAAGAACTGACTTAGTATAGCATTACGATTTCAGCAAATCCCAAATCGCCTTCCCTGGATGGGGATCCATTATTATATAAACATTTGCTTTAGTTTAGATCGAGGCTTCTGAACGTAATATGTGTGAACTTATTGTGTGAGTCAAGTGAGCGTCTTGTTAAGAGAAGATAAAACCAAGATCAGGCAATGATGGAGAAAAAAAGAAGCCACCTGTAACAATGACGCAATTTACACAGGTAGGTCTAAAAGCACCGAAAAAAATGGTACAGTAGTTCATTGACTGTGTAAATAAATGTTGACTGGTAGTAACGAGCAAATTTGTTGAATAGTTGAACTGCTATTACACTGCATTCGTAGAAATGACGCGTTTTTCCTGCACATGCACAAAACGCAATATAAAGGGAGCGTACAACGCACGTGTTCTTCCGTTGCCCGCTTCCAGGGGTCGCAGATTGATTTTCAGTAGATATTTACAGATATGTCTCTGGCTAATTAATGGCACGCTTCTCTGCTGATCAAAAATGCAAATAATTAATTAGCGGCCCTGGTGGAGGGTAGTAAAAGCTTTAGCGTACTTGTGATTCCAAAAGAATCTTAAAGAGCACTAAACTCGGTTTTTAACCTAGAAATTGAGTCCGAAGACCAAAAATCGCGGCTTACAATGAGACGGGCCAAAACATAACGAAGTAACGGAAACAAATTAGGTGAGAGTACAACCAAGGAAGAACCGGCTAGAAGCCTCAACTGAGCCCATATTGTAGAACTCGCACAGACGCAAAGATACCAGTATTGGCATTAACCATGCCTACCTGTTTAAATGTAAAGATTAAGGACGCTTATTCTTGTATCATATGAAGGTAGGGCTTTTTTTAAGTTGCGAATTTTAACTACTTATCTTTTTGTGAAATGATTGGGTATAACTGTTCACGATCAGTGCTGCACAGTAAAACTTTTTTGATGCCTTTGCCATAGCCAGATGTGTCATACGATAGCAAAATTTGCAACAATTGAAGATTTGGCGCGAAAATCCTTTATAGGGTACCTTTGTAATGGGCAAATTTGTTGTCAGTTTTTTCGTGAACACGAACGTTTTTTTCGTCAAATTTAACCAACCAGTCGACTAACGGGTCTTGACCACCAGCGTTTTATGAATCAGGCACGCAGGTGAGAGAACAAGCATTCCATCTATATACTTACGAGGCGTCTGGCTATAGAATACAGGAAGCCAAAGGATATTAAAATAAACTTACAGGTCCTCACTGTGCAGTGGTCAGTACGCAGGTATGAGGTCATTCAGTGAGGAACGTGGTTAAGAAAGCTATTACCGCTGCATATTAGACAGCGTTCACATTCAAACATCGTATCAGCTGGTTCGATCCCACTTTGCAGGGGATTCTCGCTAAGACCCCATTCCCATAGATTTTAGATCGATCTATCCCTGTGTAGATTACTGTTGGCTTAGCCGGCTTAAGCGTCTGTCCCGCCTACTAAAAGCTGTAAGGGGGTAATTAACTATGGTGCCCGCTCGGCTGACTGCAATTTAGCGTGAACCCCCAGGGAGTTAGGTCGATCTAAATCTTAATCTCTGGATCGATATAAATCACTGGGAATGCACCCTAAGTTGCATTCAGTGTAATCAGCTTTATTGTCTGGCACGCATCATAGAGTAACTGATTGCAATTTGGGAGAAACTCCTGCCGAGTTGGATCGATCCAGCTAGTACGATGGGTTCATCTGAACGCTCCTTTAGTTGGGTGGAAATATCGGTGTAGCCAAGCTTCCTACCCTAACAAGACTCCATAATTGCCAGCCTGACGAAGAAAAGTTCCCTTTCTGTTAACAAGATCGTCTGTGGGAATCAGAAACTCAGGGTAATTGTATAAAGATGGCCTGGCGCAATTTAACAGAAGGTACATATTATTCAAAGCTGTTGTTTAATACTTCATCGAGTTGCACAAAAAGTGTGAAACAATTTCAGATGTGTTCAGAATTTAGTTTTTGGTTCTTGTGGAATATTAGATATGCTCTGAGTTTGAGCGTTTGCCATTAAGTCAAGCCATGATGCTAAATACACACGTATTTACTTATGTGTTGAGTAGTGGCGTTTTTAGATTACAGCAAGTGCTTGAGAAAGGTTATAAAATGGGTGTCAGATGCTTAGAAAGGGGAGCAATTTTAATTTACTTTCCTGGAAAGTATTAAGCTGAGAAGACCTGAAACCAAAGCTCTGAGACCAAGGAATTGACTTAATGGTAGCGCTTGTCTAAGAAAAGACGCGTCAATCTCTTTTGCGTATGAAATTTATTTCAAGTGGTGCTGCGCAAAATGATGTATCGTTATTTTATGCTGATTCTTTACCGATACAGAAAAGAACAATTGGACTTTGATAATTGTGTGCCGTACAGAGAATTGAAATGTGGGCGGTGGCTGCAGATTGAAGGATACAAATCAGTAACTAGTGTGTGGTTCTTGGAACGAATGCTGCGTAAATGAGATTATCGGATGTGATGGGACGAGCTCATAACGGTGACACCACGGTGACATTTTATCTGATTTACACTTGTCCGACTTGCAGAACTAGCGTGCTGGTTTTGTGGAAATAAGGCATTGTTTTGCTATCGTATTCTATCTGTCTTTTCCTAAAACTATACTCTACAATGTGGGAAAATATTGTGTTTACGGCATTTAAACTATATTTGTATTTTGTGGCAAGGCATCTGATCGTATTCGAATTGTTCTGTTATCTGTCTGCCTTTCTGTTCTGTAACAAAACACTAGATTGTGGGAAAAATCCAGATACACTAAATTCCATTTAAACTCTATTTTTCTTCTCTATTAAGTCGCCCTGCCTTTCGGTAGCGTTCTGAGATGTGGTCGGTGGGGATGTGTATACAGTAGGCATTCCGCGAGATTATCTACCCACTTTTATTTTAGTTCTGAGTCATAGTCCACAAGTGGCACGCGTGTGAAGTGTGGCAAGAATGAAAGACGGCTGAGCATTTGTTGTTTACACATTTCAGTTCATTGAACGCTGCTGTTCTCCTCCGAAGCGGCGATAATTGATGCCAGAACTCTCCAAACCAAAAAGACGCAAAAGGGCAAGGGACACAATACAAACTGAGGCTTACGCAATTAGTTCCTGTCAGAAACAAATTGGAACGATGAGTGTGAAGTGGAACTACTGTTTTTTACAAAGAATATGAAGTTTTTACTGCTGTGTGTTGCTGTCGTAACCTGTTTTGGTGAGCATAAAGCAGTTATGTACCGGTGCCAGGGGGCCAAGGAGAACAGTTACAGCTAATTGAACTCGTAGCACTATATAAAGTCATTGAAGTAAATAACAGTTCTACATGTAGTTTTTTTGCTGTGGTGACAATGTATTACTGTACCTACATATTTCTGTTGAACTGGTTATATACTTTTCTACTTTACTTTAAGTCGGTATTAATTCAAGAAAGAAAATGGGCTTTTAAGGCTGCTGAATTTAAAACGTAGATGGCAATGATTATATATAAAACTTTATGTTTGATTTCAGAATTTGCAGAAACATTTAATTGTAAAGAGGAGTGTCTCATTGAAGACGAAGCCAAGTTTCTCACCGGAGAACCCCTTGTAGGTGTTAACCTGAGCGCCGTGTGCTTTCCACGAGAGGATGATCAGGGATATTACTGTCGCTGTCCTTTGAAAGGATTTCTTAATAAGGACGGGAAGTGCCAAGGTAATTTTAAGAGTACCATATATATATTTTTATCTTCTTTACTCTATGTTATGCCATTGAAGCAGCTGGTTTAACAACTATTCATAATTAAATGTCCCGCTCGCTTTATCTACATTCGTTTTAAAAAGAAATATTGTCGCTATTATTTGTATTTTAAAGGGAGTTATTATTGTTGTTCTTTTTAAACATCTGGTTTCAAAGTTCAAGGCTTTTAGAAATCTAAATCGATTGTTAGTTGGTGAAAATTATTCCCATTAAAACAATTGTACACCATTCCAACTTGAAAAGGTTATTTTAATGCTTTTTATGGTTATTTGTTCTATAGAAACCTGAAACTTACGCGAGAATACCCATCTATAATCTTAAGCGACATACAATACTAACAGGAACATTTAACGTTGCTCTTTACATTCAATTACCAGGAACTTAATATCTTATTGTTTTCTGTAGATTTTGATGAATGCGGCCGAGGTATTCATGCGTGCCATGGAGCATCTACGTGCGTCAATACATTTGGGGGTTACGTGTGCCGATGCCACGACAAGAGAATGGGAGATGGGAAACGCTCCTGCAGGAAAGGTGAGGGGGGGGGGGCTTTCCGATAAGTTCGAACCAGAAAGGAAAACTGTGCATTATGTGTAGTATCATTTTAATACAGACCTGAAAAAATAACGTACAGATGTTAAATTGCATAGTTATTAGATCAAATGTTACTCTCTCGAGCAGAATGGTGCTCTCTGCGTTTTATTTTGGAACTTAAAGCCTCCCGTATTTCAAGTCTTGTTAACATTAGGGATTTAACTTTTGCCCAATCTAACATCTCTTTTTTCTATACTAAGTAGACCAGAAAATGCCGCAGGCAATCATGCGGAATCGTAGTAAAAAATGTTCGTTCCACTGGCAGGTCCGCTTTTTTTTCTTCAATTTATCCTGGCATTTGTATATCGAAGGCATTGTAAAGGAGCCATTGAAGGCACTAGTACGGAACTTGAGGCCATTTACATTTAGACTAAGTTGACGTTATCCCTAAAGAAACCAGAAGCCAGTTGTGTTTTTGTGGAATTCTTAGATGTTATTGTTGTTTATTTGTCACATTAAATTCTGAATAAGCTACTATAAATCAACAATTATTGCGATATGGTACAATGTAAACTATGGACCATTGTAGTATACTTGCTTCATGTCATCATCGTTTTTTTTTCTATCAAATTTACTGAAAAAAAAAAAAGAATAATTTGCGCAATACACTGAAAGCATTGCTGCATGGACAATAACGAAAAAATATCCTCTCTGTCAGAAAGGTTCTGGCCATTGCTTCTGTATGCTTGTTGCCGATACAGGCCAGACTACACAATGTCTGCGTAGGTTAAATGTTGTCAGAAATAGGATCTGTTGGGTAATTGCATTATACAAGCTTGGTGCATGTTTGTGTTTCAGAATATTGCCCATCGGGATGGTTTTATGAGGAACTACGTCAGAAGTGTTACAAATATAACGCCTCTCCTGGCAATCACTCGCACGCTGCTGCCACCTGCCGGGCACAAGGAGGACGTCTGTCTACATTCCGTCACTTTGTAGATGTCTACAATATGGCAAGATTACGGGAGAGTTCGGGGCGATTTTGGCTGCATTTGAACAGTTTCTTAGAAAGTGAAAGGTTACTTTGGTCGTTGGATGGCGAGCTTGTGAAGTTGAAATTCCCAAAAGGTCTGTCACAGACACAGGTTATTTCTACGAAAGAACAAATAATTGATGCAAATTTTCATTGATGCTAGAAAGCAATCGTAAAACAATAATCATCATAATCATCATTATTGTTAAAAAAAGTAAACCAATCACCAACTACCGACCTCGCCCACAGCTTTGAGTGTTCTGTTTTACTTTAAAGGAAGTGAACCTGAACCATAATCCCCAAAACGACCAAAAACGTTTTAAAGGAGATGCTTATTGCAAATCACACGTGTTAAACGCTTAAATGATATGGAATTATATCAATATTCTTAATTAATTTATAGATTAATTAATCATTTTAAAATTATTAATTCATTAATTTACTAACTTGTTATAATCAATTTTATTTATGTTCAGAGTTCGTGCGTCTGTCCGGTGGGGGTCACCACTACGGTCGGGTCGAGGTGTTTCACGAGGGCCAGTGGGGCAGCGTGTGCCACTATGGCTGGGATATCAAGGACGGCCGCGTCGTCTGCAGGCAGTTGGGATTTCCTGGAGTGCGGAACGTTAAGGGGTACGCTCGGTACGGGGAGGGCCGGGGCCCTGTGTGGCTGACAGAGCTGCAGTGTGAGGGGAGTGAGGAGAACCTGCTGGACTGTCAGCACGCTAACTTGGGGAACACTAGATGTGGGCATAATCTAGATGCCTCCGTGTACTGTTATCCCGGTAAAGAGCGTTCTTTTATTAATTGTGATAATTCTTTGGATTTCTTTCCCATGTACCACAACCTCATTTCTTCTCATCTTCAGAGGTTTGGCAAGTCACTTGAAAATTTCTTTTACATCCAAGAAGCAAAAAAAAGAAAAAAAGCGTAGCATTTTTCAATTTTTTCAGGTACGCTTGCTAGAAGTATGAAATCTTTGCGATAAGTAATAAAAACTGCTTATTGTTTGTGAGGGCGTGAATGTTATTTCGCACACACTAGAAGACATGCCAACTGGAATTTTAGTGTTTAGAAAAAAAACGTTTCATTCTGCCGCAGACCCACTGACCTAGAGTGCAAATATTTCTAGTAAAAGTTGCTAAAGGGTTGCTGTGTATTTCCAGACCTGCGCCTCAGTGACGGCGACAAACACTATGGACGAGTAGAGGTGTTTCACAGCGGTCAGTGGGGCAGGATTTGTGCTGACCAGTGGACCGATCTCCAGGCCAACGTGGCGTGCAGACAGATGGGATTTACACGAGGTTTTGCCTTGAACATGTCGACAGCTGATGCAGAGAGTTCGACTTCAGTGGTTTCCCTGCGTCTCGATCACGTTGAGTGCAGCGGGAACGAGACGCGTCTGAAAGGGTGTGAGCTCGGGCTCTGGGGAAATGTGAGAAACTGTGATGGTGTAGAGGGCGCGGCTGTCTACTGCGAAGGTATCAATTAAAAAAAAGAAAAAAACAAGATATTTTTAATGAAAAAAAAAATAGATTACTTGAGAAAGCACTCTTCTCATTCTACTTTAAAGAAAGAAAGAAAGTGTCCAAATCCGAAAATGTGAGGTACACAGTAGTCAGTAAATTATACCACATACTACTGTCAACATTCAATTTAAAGGGTAGAGCTATATTTATACTTACACTTTTTACTGTATACTATTGTAGAAGATGCACCTGTCCGTCTGGCGGACGGCAACAGTAACTATGGGCGCGTGGAGGTCCTCGAAGATGACCACTGGGGGACTGTGTCTGACGACCACTGGGACTACAAAGACGCTGTGGTCGTATGCCGCCAGCTAGGATACCACAACGGATGGGCGTACACCTCTGCGCGGTATGGCCCAGGGTTCGGTATGGTGTGGTTGGGGGACGTCCAGTGTACGGGCATGGAGCCCAGCTTAAACCAGTGTACCTCTGGGGTGATATCACGACAGAACTTGGATCACAGTAAGGACGCCTCGGTCAAGTGTGATCCGGACCCAGGTAGGTTCTCATTTATTTTTACCTGTTCAGATGTGATATTGTTTAGAACTAATTCCTTATATTTTGCATTAGAAATAGTGTCTCTTAAAGGTGTTGCCGAGTCATTGCAATCTTGACAGGCATACTGTAATGTCAGTGGCACCCCTCTACGCAAGTTATGCTCTTAGGTTTCTGGATATAGACACGCCTTTACCTAATAAATAATTTCTTCGATTTTGTACGTTCGCACTCTCCGGTTGTACACATTATAAAATAATATTTACATACATTAACTGTCAATTCTAGCACATGATATAGTCTAGTCGATTTTTTTCGCCCAGTCTTGCTTCGCCTATCAAATAACGAGACTAACAGCGGACGGCTTGAACTCTTCTACCAGAACGTATGGGGTTTAGTGTGCAGTACGGGCTGGACGGACACCGAGGCTACGGTGGCATGCAAAGAACTGGGTTACTCTCACGGCATCGCTACCGCCGTCCCCTTCAGCGCCGACACCCCCAGGCTAATTGTGTGGCTGGACAGTGTGCGCTGTACGGGATATGAAGATTCACTGCGACAGTGCAGACACGCGCCTTGGAGCGTCCATGATTGCCCCAGTGGAGACTTCGCTGGCGTCGTTTGTCACAATAAGGATTCTGGTATGATTATATTAATAATGTGTGTTTCCTTTAGATACGCATAGAAATCAGATGTGCTGATCGTTTTGCCTTTTTAGGTCCTTTTTAGGTCCAATTTTTTAAAGTCATAGTTATAAATACCTTTAAATTAGTTAATTTTTTACAAAACCTGAAATTCAGAGAGCAATGATAACTGACCTCACTAGCAGCATGTCTGATGTTAGAAGTAAGTTTCTAGTAATCTTTGAAACTCAGGATGTTTTTTCATTAAGCCCTGTGCCAGTTTCGATGTCCAATAAAGTATATTGTGGAAGTTTTTTTAATATCCTCGCGATATTTACCTTTCAGAGGCATGCCTCAGTGCTTCCTATAACGTGGTTTCGGGCGTCACAACTCTTGATGGCGACATTAACTGTGATCGCAACGTCAACTTTTGGTGTGAAAAAGGTATATTTAATTGTTTCATCGTAATATAGACATTTACACCAACGGAATTAACCCTTTTTGAAAAGAAAACAACACATTGCAAAGGTAAATGTAAGACTACTTTCAACATAAATATTAGTTTAATTTAATAATATTTCAAAAACGTCCGTGAGCAAGAAAAAATTCCGATCAATATTATCTCAATTTTCCCCTTGAATAAAGATTTTTTTCCACTGAAGACCTTTCTTATTGTCAATATCCGTATCATCCTAGCTGTATTAGTCGCATTAATTATTATTTCCGTACATGATTTTTGAACACTGCAGAAATAAATCGTTGCGGTTTCGACAATGGCGGCTGCAGCCATACCTGTAACTACGATGGTAGAAATGGCACGTGGTGTACATGTCCGGATTATATGGACGGTCTGGCAGACGATGGAAAGATGTGTAAAAGTAAGCAGTATACTTTGGTTATTATTTTGCAAAGAACATTATTGCAGAGGCTGTTACTGTTAAACTTATGGTTCTAATAGTGAAATGCTAAGTTGGACTTATTGTCAATTATGACATCTGAAATAATGTTGACTATAGGGCCCTAATTCGTTTGATAGTTTTCAATATTGGCGTAAATTTTAACAAAGGAATGTTTGACAAAAGGTATATAAAAACTTGTTTTTTATTTTAAGGTACTAAACTGAAGGTGCTATGTTCCGCCAAGAGTATGAAGATAGCCATAGGAAAAGATCTGGTTTCAGGTATTCTTTACTAGGCCTACATGTATGATTGCGCGTAGCACACTTACACCCCATTTCCATAGATTTTTAGATCGATCTATCCCTGTGGGGAGTCTCACTAGATTACTGTCATCTTGGCCGGCTTAAGCGTCTGTCCCGCCTACTAAAAGCTGTAAGGGGGTAATTAACTATGGTGCCCGCTCGGCTGACTACAATTTAGCGTGAACCCCCAGGGAGTTAGGTCGATCTAAATCTTAATCTTTAAATCGATCTTAATCTCTGGGAAAGCACCCTTAAATGTACGAAACATTGCCCTTGACAAAATGCGCTACATTACCTCTGAACTTGGTCGCTTTTCGAAATCAGTTAAGACCACACAGTAGAAAGACTATATGAGAACATTAAAATCACCCATTCACCTTTTCCAGAATTCCATCGATATAAAGTACGGCTGAATGGCGAGGATTCCTGCGCCGCCACTTATAACGGTAGCCACTATCTTCTTCAAGCAGAATACACAAAGTGCGGAACAACTCGAGAAACAGACGCTGGGGGCGAGCTTATAATATATTCCAACCAAATAAATGAACGTCCTAATTTTTTAAACAATTCGCATGGCAATGAAATCACTAGACTTCCTCGGATTCAGCTCGAGTTTCTGTGCGTATTCAACTCTCGAGGAATCGCGTCTGCTGTTTACAGCCCAACGGGAGATATTTTGATGACACAACGTCAATCTGGAAACATGGATTTCAGTCTGGATGTCTCCGCTAACGCATCCTGGGCCAGATGGAGAGAGTCTAGAGGGAGAGTGTATGTGATATATCTTTAATTGATAAAGATTATATCAGGAATGTTATAAATAATGTATATCATAGACAATTTTATCGTGGAGATTGTTCGACAATGCCATGTGTTCCTTTTTAAGCCATTAGAAAAATAATATGCCACTTTGAACAGATAAAACAGATAAAAATATCAGTACGTGAAATGCTAAATTATCGGAAATAGCTAAGAAACAAGATAAAAAGGCAATTTAAATTAATAGATTTTTGCTTAATGACAATGAATTATATTTTATAACTACAATAGGTTTTCGCCGCTGGTAGTCGTAGTTGAGTTAGGGCAAAATCTTTACCTAGACCTCAAAGTGCTGTCGTCGGATACCTTCACGGTTTTGGCAGTGAAATGCTGGGCCTCTCCATCCAATGATCCGGCAGATACCGTTAGACATAGGCTTATAGAAAATGGGTAAGTTTTATAGTTAAATCTTAATTTGCAAAAATTTTGATAATTTTGACGGCTTTGGCTTTTAAACAACTAGCGAGGTAAATCGAACAAAACAGTTCTACGACTGAGACATATATGGAAATATAGATTGATGACGTGTTTAAATTTATTGGAATTGTTTAAGATTTCCCTTTCCCTCTCTCTCTCTCTTTCTCTGTCTAGCATTCGCGCGCGCGCACATAATTATTTTATATTTTCGACTTTGAAAAAATTCCCTTCAAGGTGTGCAGTGGACTCTACCGTGAAATTCCTCTCATGGCGTCTTGGAGGCCAAACATTTACCATTCAGGCGCTGAAGTTTATGACAGAGCATCCCCTCGTCTACATTCACTGCGAGGTGCGCGTCTGTGAACTAAAAGACCGTGAGAGTCGCTGTATTCCGCGATGCACTGAAGACACGTCACGAAGACGTAGGAGACGAGATAACAAAATCAGCGACACAGGGAAAGTGCAGATGCTGTCGGCGCAAAGGCCAATATTTGTTCTTGCGCCACACCAGGAACATTCACACGAAGGTAACGTTATATCGTGAATACTAATTCAGAATTTTTATTTGTTCCATTATTAATAGATCATTACACCAGTTATACTACAATAAAGTTTGCTAATAACCGCAAAGTACGTATTTGTAGAATATAATATTAGAACATATGTGTTCGATATAACGATAGAGTTTAATTGATTAGGCAAATGGTCTTAAGTAATCAAATCAAATAAAAAAACTGACACGATATTTTTCCAACATGGTAATATTTTTTTGCTTTCAGGAAATTCTAATTCGGTTGCTATTATGGCTGTAGGAGGAACTTTGGCTGTGGTTGGAGGCTGTCTTGTAATGGTGGCGGTTGTTCGCATTAAATTTTTCAAATCTAACCGTGTAGTACCAATGGATTGAACGCCATTGGTGAAGGATTGATATAGTAACAGCCACGACTGGATTAACCAACTACAAACTACAACTGAGGTCACAAATATTTCTCCTCTACATGTGAAGTATTTCACATCAATCCCAGTTTTAATTTTCTAACACTTTATTTTAACGGGTTACATTCAAACGTTGTTAAGTTTTGAAAACTGCGGTTGAGACACAATCTGCACGTAAAAAGGAGTAGAATTGCAGGTTTTGGTGGATTTTCTTCAGTATGGAGAATTGCCTTATACAATAATAACATTGTAGGTCATACCTGCAAGACACTTGTAAATAATTGTAAAACCTCAACTGTCCATATGAAAATTAGAAACATGGAAGTTTTCTGTGTAATAAAAGCAAATTCAATGCAATGGGGACGGAGGAGGGGGCGAGGTGGAAAATATTTGGGTTTTCCAACCAAATACTTATAGTATGATACACTGTGAAAGCCATTTGTGCTATTAGAAGAAACTGAAAGAAATCGTCATATTTTTATTGAATAATAATATCGACATAATAATAATTTTATCAAGGCTCAATCATTAACATATATTCATTTAACTAAATGGCACATGTCAAAATTACTGATCAACATTCCCTGTCCGTTTGGTATGATACGACATAAAGTAAATTATAAACAAAAGGACAGGCGAAAAATTATTGCAAATATAAAAAGGAACATCGAAATCACCGCGAGATGCCAAGAGAAACCAAAAATAAATAAAACGTCATCTAAAGCTAACAAGATTATCCCTGAGAAAATAATTTCCAAACGCACCCTCTACATACGCAACGTTAGTGCGTTCGGCAATTGAGTGCAAACCTGGCGAAGATAATACGACGAGAATTTCCCATTCATCCAGTACTGATTGGACATAATAACGAAATTCATAATTTTGCTCATGAGTAGTGTGATATCACAGTTAAGTGACGCAAGTGTGGGACAAGGCTCTCGCGCAGATACCTAGTCACCTGACCTGTCGCGTGACCACAACGGGTCACTGACATTCACTTCCAGGTTGAAGTTCGTGGTACCGATTACAACGTTGGATCGTTGCATCCTGGTAAGTCCAGTGTTAGGTTTATATTTTTTTTTCTTACAACAAAGCGGATGTTCACAGGAGGAATGCATTAATATCACAGATATTTGTCTGCGAGCTCATTTAGAGCAGGGGACTAACAGATCCGCGGATCAAATATGGTCGACCCACTTGAATGCTTGTTGCGTAATCCCCGCAGGAAATCTATTTAGTGTGTAATCCTGAATTAAGCGGAAAGCCATTTTTGCTCTGCGGATCTGTTAGTCCACTGTTCTGAATGCGTTCTGAGACCGTTTTATACATATTCTGGTTATGTTCAGGTATCATTAATTCTTTCCTGTTTTTGCGAAATATCGTTTGTGCTTCACACTAACTTAAATCGATCCTGATGGTAGAAATTTCTGTATAAAGCTTGGTTATAAACATCTTCCTGAATCAACAGCTTTAGATTTGTAATATAGATATATTAACTTCCCAAACAGGGCATCGTTCGCACTTCTGTTACCCTGCACTGATGAAAAACTATTTGTATTCTCGAGATCAAGTAACTAATTGATAAGATATTGTTTCACCGTAATTCTTTTTTATGTAGCCTTTTAAATACTGGATACATGCTATGGCTCCTTGCTGAAAAAAAGTTAATAATAATCAACGGACTTTCCTTGCAATGTGACTTTCATTTGACTTGTTTCTGTTCAATTAAGGCAACTTATTTTATCATCAATTTGAATGAGATTAAGTCTCTTAAACGTTACAAAAATATGAAAGAGCAATCTGTTTCGCTGATTAAACAATGTGATGCAATATTTGTCAGGACAATGCGATGCCAGTGGGTTCAATCCAACAGATCAACTTACACGTATAAGAAATTCTTTGTCCTCAGTTTCCATGTAAAAGTCCGTTGTTTGAACGTAATCCGTGTTGATACCAATCGTGCGCTCATCGTCGTTAGTCTAAAACGAAAAAAAAATACATAAATGCGTGTCCAAGGTATTTCACCATATTTATTATATATTTATATTTATTATATATTTATTATATAATAAATAAATAAATAAATAAATAAATAAATATATATTTATTAAAGAAAATATAAGCGCATGTGCGGAGAAGCTAATGCTTCATTGCCTGCAAATGTCTGATACATAGGCCTACCAGAGCATTAATAAAAAAAAAAACACCCCCCCCCAAAAAAAAAAAAAAAAAAAAAACGTTTTAAATCAATTAATATTGAAGAGCCAATTTTATGATATACATGAATATTCTCGTCTAAAAGAGAAAAAAAAAACGATTTACTTTCAACAAAATCAGAAGATAACTTATCTTGCCTTCATATATAGTTGCTTCACGTTGATTTCTACTGTGTCTAGCACAGACGTGAGGAAATCCCCGAAGGTATTCACATCTCTCATTGAAAGTTTCTGAACATAGCACATAAACGCTACGCTGCGACGCTCGATGAAATACAAAAATTCTTGCCAATTTATCTGAAAATGTAAAATGTCAACAACGTGAAAAAATCACCAAGAGAACAAATAATAATAATAGGTTTTAACACCAAATCTACAAGGCATAACCCTCAAGCTTTAATATATTACCCCCAATTTCTGTAAACTGGTTCAAAAATGACCCAGTCACAGTGCTCCGTTACCTTTCAAGTTTACAGGTGTAAGTACACATCTTCAAGAAATCCTTAGACGTAGCTATACTTCTGAATGAATGTACAAATCAGACAAATGCCACGAGGGTTTTATTAGAACATACAACATAGTCCAAAACATGCTGGATGTGCTGAATAAATAAATAAATAAATAAATAAGTAAACGTTACACCATCATGAGGGATCCGTTCCTACGATCAGATGTTAACAAAAAAATAAAATATTCAGTAAAAATTCCCCGGACTTATTTTTCAAGTTTTCAAAGTCAGTGATCCTGATTGCATGACTGGAATTTTACGCAAGTTAGAACTCCCTGCCCTTGAAGAGCGACGCACGAGTTGCGTTACACGGGAGGGTGGGGAGGTATGGAGTGCATTGTGGTGGTTAAACAGTAGTTTTCACATTATAATTACCCCCATAAAACATATGGTACAGCCATATACTCCGTCCGGCATTTTTTTTTTTTTTTGTACTGTTTGTGGTGCAACATCATTATCAACCCCACTGATATCAGACTTGGAGTAGTCATCTGGGTCGTCAATTTCGTCTGATTGTTAGGGAACATTGGTACTTCTCAGGATGCGTTTTCACTTAATATTAAAGTTTTATTGTCAACTTCTGCACTCTCTTGACGTCTTCATTGAACACTTCATTGAATCCTTATTTGTCTTATGTTCACGTCATAATCATAAAGTTATGTGTGAGATAATACACTGCCACCCGAGCGTTATAAGCCATATAACACCTCGAGCGTCCCCCCCCCCTTTTTTTTTTAGTGACTCTACGCAGAAATGTCGAGAGAAGCGAGATATTTCTGGGTAGCAGCTCGAGGCTGCCCTCTATCTTCATCTTTACTGGGACAGGCTTCAGTGATCAGCATATCGTCACGGTCACATCACTAGGTATGTATATAAATTGCGAAAAAGGAATTACCTGCCGATGCCGCCTGAATATATATTATCTTACACTCTGACATGGAGCACCATTGCTGCCTGAAGGTCAAAAAAGGACCCAGTTCGCCCAGTTTACAGATAACGTCACGTTTTCTACAAATTTTTTTAAAGATTAGTTCTAAGTGTGCCGTGTATAAGTAAAAGCAAATATGAAATACCAGAATGAGCTTCAGTTGGAGTGGAACAAATGACCCAATTAAACACTTTCAAGATGATAATCTGTCACCATACATGTACAGCTACGCATGCGTTATTAAATTCCGGTTACATCACGAGTGTTAATAAAACGAAAGTAGTATTTCCGCCAGCATATTCTATTTCAAAATTCTCCGATTTTTGGTCGTTGTCTGGCGTTTTAACATCGGCGAGGGGGGCACAACAGGGTATGTTCAAACCGTGAAACCCGTGTGATTGATTGATCATGGGCAGTGATTCGGAGAAGTGGCGTAGAGAGGGGAACCAACTGTACATGTCAGCGACACAAGGCGGACTAAGTCCCGTTCTCAAAAAAGAAAGGTTTAAAAACGCCATTGTAAAATTCAACAAAGCTCTTCAAACTGCAGAGACAAGAAATGATCGCTCTTCTGCACATAAAAATATTGGGATGGCGTCATGGCGTTTGGCTCAAGTTATACAGCTACGAAATGAAGGGCCTAAACTTGTGGAATTTTATTTCACAGAGGCACTTAAGCACATGAGTAATGCATTGGAAGAAGCCGGAACATCTCGAGGTCTCGACTGGTCCACCCAAAGTAATGAATACCTACAAGATTGCCTCCAGGGCGTTATTAATGACGCTGCAGAGATGGGGTTGTGTCGTGAACGCGTGGACGCTCTTCACAGGTACCTGGGTGTCATTTCGCGCGACCTGCCTGTCCGAGTGACTGGACTTCTAGAAATGACCTCGGTTACGTTTCATCTCGGTGTCACGGCTCTCGAAAACGGTGACATCACAGAATGCCTGAATTTCATGGCTGAATGTTACCAGCCAATAGAAGAAACCAAAAGAGTTGCGGATGATGAAATCATGAAGGAAGTTGATGTCCTGGAAAAGGACGTTTTTATGCAGAAGTGCGTTGCTGAGTCTATTAAGGCAAGAAAAACAGGTACGCCTTGTTAGAAAATTCCACATCATTATTGCCTCCAAGCAACAACTTTCCTGATTTTGCTACAAGTTCTATTAATCCATAGGATTTTACTAAGGCGATTTTTCACCTAAAAACCGATGTACATATTTTAAATCTAACGTAATATCTGCTGTCTACTAAAGATAATATTATAACATATAGTTATACTTATATGATATAATGATATAAGACAAAGAATTATATC